GGGGTGTCATCTCCAGAGTTGCTGGAGGCTTTGTGTCATGGCTGGCTGTTCCTACTAGGGGATGTCTGTGTTTTGTAGGCCTTGGTCTCATGGAGAATGGCGTCCTTTCGTTCTGCTCTTGCAATAATTACTGCAATATCATCGCAGTCTTCCTCGAGTGGTTCTACTTCTCGCCGGAGGGTAGGGTGCATGGTGTCGTAGAATCGTCGCTTCAGGATGTATTTGGAGATGCTTCCTCTCTCCATTCGGTCCTTATACATTATCAAGTCCGTAGCCACATCGGTGATTCGCTTGACATGTGTTCTGTTAACTTGCTGGAGCTGGTTGAATTTGTTGTATAGGAGGTCGTTGGTTATAGAGGATTGGAATCGTCCTTTCAGGTAATCGAGAACTGTAGATCCACTTAATCTTACATTCCCGGCGAAATCCTTATAGCATTGATGGTATGCGTCGGTTGCCTTTCCTTCGTAAAATGATCCAATGATAAGTCCGGTTGTAGGGTCTTCCACATCTTTTCCTTGTAATAGTAGGAAATGTGAGAGTTCTGTAGCTCATCGTTCAAAGGCTTCAGGTTTGAGGTCTTTCCCTTCGCCTGTGAACTTCGCTGGGAGGTGAAGTTTAAACTTAGGGGGTTCAAATGCTGCAGGTACCTCCTCTTCTTCAGGCTTTGCCCGAGATTTCCCTCCCCCAGAAGGCCCTCCTCCTGTGCTAGCCATATCTGATTCGCTACTAGATTCTGGGTCATTTGGAGGTTCAAAGGAAGGCTTCTTTGCTGGAGTAGAAGGGAATTCTCCTGGAGGTTGTGTATCTTCCATGTTTGCAGGATCGCCCGGCTCTTTAGCAGAGCGCCGGGTTTGTTTCTTCCTTGTAAGGTCTTGCCGTGGGATTTGCTTCCCACTCCTGGTCGTCAAAGACTCTATCTTGGGTTTGAGATGAAGCCGAATATGCTGTGATTCTGCCGCTTCTCTCCGCTAGCGTTCTGAGGTGGATATCGATAGGTTGATCAGGCCTAAATCTGGAGACAGGTTCTTAACCACTTGCTGAGGTTAAAAAAATGTAACGTGTTCGCAAGGTGCTAATCACGTTATCGGTAATAGATACGATAGCTGACAGGTGGCCTGCTCTTCCAGAGAGGAGGCGAGAGCTGAGAACTAAAGGAGGCTTCGAGGGTGTACTGGGGAACAAAGAAGTAACCGTTCAACCAAGTATATTTGAAATACTGTCTGTCGAAGTCTGCCTTTTCTATCGTAGAAACAGGCGGTCTTTAAATACACAAATCTGTTCATGCCTAGCATGAACGAAACTAATCAAAGGTATCAATCGATACACTTTGGTAAAACTCTTTAAGTATCAAAGCGATACTTAAAACAAAACATAAAGCAAAACCAAGTATCAAACGATACTTAAAACAAACCAAGTATCAAAGCGATACTTAAAACAAAACATAAAACAAAACCAAGTATCAAACGATACTTAAAACAAACTAAGTATCAAAGCGATACTTAAAACAAAACATAAAACAAAACCAAGTATCAAACAATACTTAAAACAAACCAAGTATCAAAGCGATACTTAAAACAAAACATAAAACAAAACCAATAACCAAGTACCCGTACCGGTTACACAACGACAATAAATTCCCCTCACAAATACTTATTCCTCCCCCTCCAATCGAACTCGACGGAGAACCAGAATACAAGCTCGACGAAATAGTCGATTCCCGCTTCTTCCACGGTCACCTCCACTACCGAGCCAAGTGGACAGGATACTCTCCTGAACACGATAAAACTTGGTACTTCGCACACAACTTCGAAAACGTACAAGATGCCATCTCAACCTTCCACCAGCGATATCCAGGCAAGCCCGGCCCAGGTGACGATCACGTTCAACCAAGACAAAAGCGAGGGAAAGACTCCCGCGCCATTGCAGCAACACGAGGGCTGGGGCGATAGCCCCCGCCAAACTACACCTACCAGCCCCGAATACTCATTCATGGGGCCAACTGACGAAGAACTCAAGGAAAGGGAAAAACAAGCACAGCATAACACCATGTCATGGACGGTATGCTACGACGACGGTTGCCAAACACACTTTGGCGACAAAGAAGGCTCAGGATGGTTCCCGAGGGAATGTCGCAAGCGTGCCTACACCTGGACCACGTTCTAAAGTATTGGCAACAATGCTTCAGAAATGGGTGCAGGATGCACAGGGCACAAAAAATATCTGCAGGATTTTACCCGCAAAAAGATGGAAGCTGAAAAGAGTTGGAAGGAGAGGATGCCAGGAAGGCATGGGCTGCGAGGACGCGGTCCAAGGAGGGAGGGGCCCAAAACTCCTCGGCAGACACTGAACCGGATATCAGGAGCCTACACAGGCAGATCTGGGGACTCCGAGAACAACTGGGCCAAGCCGAGGCCACAATTTTGGCAAACGACAAAACGATCGCGGAGCTTAGACAGCTGAACGACAACCAGCGGCACACAATCGAGATGGCGAATCTGACTCTGGAATCGGTAAGGGTCAGATGGAGGACGGCAAACGAAAAGTTCCACAAGCTGAGAAGGACCATGCACTCGGCAGGACAGGAACTATTGAAACTGGGAGAAAAAGCCTGATGGGATCTCAATTGGCTTAAGAGGAGGGGAGCTAATGTCACAAATGTGACTTAGTAAGGAAAGGGTTTTCATGTGATACATGGTTATGAGTCACAGGTATGTTATTGTTTCACGCATATAACCTATTCGGGTTGTATGATTAGTTATGTGTGGGATTTGTGATGCTTTCGCACATGGCTCAAGTATGAGTCATGGGACATGCGCCTGACGAGTATGCCTTACGAGTATGCCTTACAGGCAAGCCTTGCACATATGATCTATGTTTTGCACATGACCTCACTATAAGGTCATGGGTTTCGAGCATGTGATCACTTTGGTCACATGACTAGTTTGTTTTGATTTGGTTTTGCACATGTGACCACTTTAGGTCACATGATTAAAGGCGGGAAGAACACTATATAAGGAGGCCGATGTGGCCGAGGACGATAGGTTCTTCACGCTTTGTTCTAAGTACTTTTCCTACATATTACTTTAACGAATATAAAACACCTTTACGATCTTTATCCTTATTGCAACCTTATCATTACACCAAGAAGCACTCGTTACGAAGACGAGTTAGAGAAAGCTTACGATAGGTGTTTCCGATAGAAGACAAAGGTCTTGTACTATCGGTAACATAGGCAGAGGCCTAGAGCTATCGTAAGACAAGGAAAGAAAGGGAAAGAGAAGGTAAGTATCGTTCCCTATCGCCAAGAACTAACTATCTGAAAGGGGATCGTTACAACTGCTTGAACAGATTCTCCAGAACCAAGACCGCTTAGAAAAAAAGTTTGATCAGTAACAACAAGATCTCGAATTTTTATGACATTTTATTCAGCCTTCTTTAGAAATCCGGCAGGACTTGAGAACTGAAAAGCCATTTGGATTTCCTACTCGGAAAACCTTTGTCGATATGAGTTCTTTTATTCATTGAGTATATCATTAGCTGACATATTAATAGTCACAAAATTTACTCTCAAGAAATGTTGAGATATTTAATGCTTTAAAGATTTTGCAAGGCCAAATACAAAGTATTAATGCTTGTATTCAAAAGCATAATGAAAAGCTTACAAAAGATGAAGGAGTTTGTTAAATTCTCCATGCTTTTATGATAACAAGCTAATTAAAGAGAAGATTCTGATTTGAAACTATGTGAAATCCATCTTTACACATCCTGATCTTTGAGATGAGAGATGGTTTGACCATACCAAACTTTGTGTAATAAAACTCTAAGCATCAATTTGTTATACTTTTAAACTAATATGATTGATGTAGGAAATGTTTTGTCAAAGAGGCCTTCGAACAATGACTCCTACTACCTTTACCACAAAAAAGGCAGCAGTACTTCATAATCTTTCCGAAGCTATTTCTGAGGAAAAGAGCAAATTCAAATCACAACTCATAGATAGTACTTTTCGTCAGCTTCCAATAACAACATTTACTCAATACCTATTTACACCATCTATGTTTACAGGTCGTACAGAAGAAAAAATAATAGAACTTCAAGTAGTAGCTGCTAAGTGGGTAAGAATTAATTCTGCTTATCATTTACACAATATATACTAATTTTGTTTCAAGCGGCATATTACAAGTCATGACTTTAATCCCAACCCAGCAAAAAATGTCTGGTGGTCGAAGATCTTTCGCAAATTATCTTCCCTATTTCAGGACATTGTTGATAATAACTTCATGAGGTAAGTAACCTCTAAGATCATATTTTATATTGTTAGTACTTATAACTAACATATAACTATACTAATCTAGAATTCATCTGCCAATATTAGAGGAAGATCAAAATCTCTACCAACTCAGTTCAGAAGAATTACGATCTCACAATAGTTCTAATCTGGAGTTTCCACCTTCTGAGGACAGTGACTACCTACATCTTATGGAAGAAGGTCATAAAAGTTACTCTACTCTTCTAAGGGATAAGAGGACAGATATGGAACAGTTAAAAGATCAAACAGATGATATTTTTAGTGACCTTGGCTGATATTGTACCTGCTTTGTTTTTATTATCTTGTATTTAAATTTTCTGTTCATTCTCCACACTCTGTATTATTCTAATTCCTTAAGCGCATTGGATAGTAATACATATTCCAAATTTGTAATACAAATAAGGTTTTATGCCCTTACATTGAAGTTAAAGTTATTTATAAACTAGGAGATCCTATTTGCCGTTAGGGTTATTTTTATAAAAACCTAATTGTTTGAAAGTAATTTTGCAAACTGATATCAAGTGATAATATGCCTGCTGTAAGGTGATTCATCAATTTCTGTCACTGATTCCATGTTCTGCTGTAGTATGACAGCTCAGGCTCCACCACCTGTCCTCATTCCATGTCCTGGCAGGTGACAAGCTAATTACTTATCATTTGATAAGTCTACTGACATCATTTGCCTCTACCACTTCCAGCACCCTCCTTGGATTCTGACAGAATCTGTTTCTGATACAGTGGTGTACTATACACATCACCCCGCGCTCAGGCACCAGGGCTAAAAAGCTTCTCCAAACCTTCCACAATCTTCGGCAACTCGTCTTTGCCGACTAATATTATATGTCCCTAAAATCGATCAGTGCCTCCATTACATCTATCTTATCACTGGCCCATAACTCACCTGTGGCATGATCCCAAAATCCGAAAACGCCCTCTTGGAATCCGCTGTTCCAGTACCCCCTTCCTTTACATATTTGTAACTAGCATGCTCGCCACTGCGTTGAATTGTCTCGTCTTCGGGGTGGAAATAAAAGAGCTCGTTTTTGGATTTTGAAGATCCCTTCTTGCCTTTCTTCTGTGGACGAGATTCTAGAGCGTCTATTTTGGAGGGGATTTCGGTATAAGTTTTTGATATGATTAGGAAGTTACTAAAATTATATGGTTCGTTCTGGCACGCAATGTCAGCACGGTAAGGGTGAGTTTAGTGGAGCAGGAACAGAGAAGCTTAACTTCTTCGATTGCCCAATTGATTTCTTCTAAGAGCATCTTGTACATTGGTGGTACGATCTCGGTAGGGACATTGATCAATCGCTCGGTAAGTATTAAACCCGTGTGGGAGGAAGCGGAACTAGAGAGGAGCTCGTTGAGCTTCTTGTTTAGATTTGGAGATGATTGCGATCTTGCGAGAATATATTTAATGAGATCCTGGACCACTGGCTTATCCTAGGAGTGTTGTCAGGGGAGCTGGACGGTTTAACTAAGAGAGATCTGAATACCTTGTGCTCTTGTAGGTTTACAACAGTAAGGAATGCGTAGGGGTCACTTTCGTTTCCATCCACCTTGACAGTAGTTCCCAATAGTGGCTGCGAAAGAATCAGGTCTGTCAATGCGGATAAGTCGAAGAGGGTATTATCAGCATCAAAAAGCTGTCGAAGAAGTGTCTTCAGGCCATGGAAGTCATGGTCAGGCTGCGGATCAAACATCTCGAAGTCGACATTCACAATGTCAATTTCCTAACCTCGTTCACTCGTGTCAGAATGGGTTGGGGACTTCACGTTTCGAGTGGGATTGAACTGACCTCCGAGTCGGAGCTTGAATCGGAGTTGGTGTTCTCCTCTCCCCCATTACCAATTTCCACATCTCTGGTGTCAGTATCCTTGGAGGCCTTACGTTTGCCCATTATTGCGAACGCTGAATGTTAAGATTTATGGTGGCTGGCTCCCCTCGCTTTTTTTCCTCCCCCTAATTGTTCGCTCATTATTCGGCAGGGTAACTCGCGCTCCGTGGTGGGGTCTTGGCAGATAGTGTGCTACTCCCCGCCCATCTTGCTCCAATTCCGGCAACCACCCTCGCAGAGCGGCACGATACACAATGTTGCTGCTGCGAACAACCCAACGCTCGGTCCTACGACCTCAGGTCATCCAGATCTACTCATTCCTTAAATCTACATCCAGCACCACCCCCCGATTCAGTATCCCGATCCTCTCCCGAACAATCGTCACTAGCCCCCACTTGCGCATCTCTTCAATCCCCGCCGAAACGCCTACTCCAATTTCACCTCCCTCAGAAGCCCCGCCTACTGTACAATCTGATCCGGCGCCCACTGCACACAATTCCCTTTCTCTCTTAACAGCACTCAATGCCCAGCCGTCGAAATACATCATGGTCAAGATCCAGGGTTTCACCTTCCTCGTTACAACGGGAGATAAGGTCGTGCTACCGTTCCTTCTCAAGGACGTCAGGGTTGGTGATACTCTACGGTTAACGCATGCGACTACGTTGGGGTCAAGGGACTACACAATGAAGGGGAATCCGTACATCGATGAGCGGCTTTTTGAATGTCGAGCTACTATTATTGAAGAGACGGCGGAACCATTGAGGAAGAAGGAGAAGAAGAAGAGGAGGACTCGAAGGACTAAAACGGTGAAGAGTAAGCATCGGTACAGTGTGCTAATAATCAAAGAGTTGGTTATCAACGATGTACCTCCTGCGCTAGCGACAGCGGCAGGCAGTAGCACTCCTAGATAGGGGGGGGTTGTAAGGGCGCCAACAGGGAGGGGAAAAGAGGGAAAGGGAGGCGAAGGAAGCACTGGATGGGATCCTTCATAATTGACTGTACATAGAGATTCTACTCGGATATGGATGTAAAAATCGAGTATGACAGGGATAAAACCGGGCACTACGGGAATTATACAGATAAGAGATCGAAGAAAAAAAGGAGCTTCAGAAGGGTGAAAACCGAAGTAGTTGCATACACATAATTTCTCCATGAAGTTGCAAAAAGTTCACATCGGTCAGCTACCGGCACAACTATACTTATAGAGACATACTTGAATACAAATTTTCCATTCAAATATGAGCTAACAAATAATATTCAATAAATAGTGAGAGCATAAATGAGTGAAAAAATAATGAAAAAACATAAACTAGAGTGAAAGTGCAAACAAGAGAAAAAGGACAAACAAGAGAGAAAGTTCAAGAAAAGCACACAAAATGGTACGAGAAAAAGCACAGGAATAAACACAAAAAAAAGCATTAGAAAAAGTATAGGAAAAACTACAAGTGAAGGTGTAAGAGAAAGTATAAGAGAAAGTATATAAGAAAGTACAGGACAGATTGCAAGCGAGAAAAGGAGCAGGAATAAGAAAGAAAGTACAATAGGGAGTGAGACAGAAAGTACAGGAGAAGCTGGACAGAAAGTAGAAGAGCTTAGAGGGAGGCAGAAATGAGAGTATAGTTGCATCTCACTATCTCCTGATAACTGAAATTTGAAGAATCAGTCTGATATGATAAGTGATCTGGGACAATGGGTCCAGTTTTGCAGTAAAGAAAATTTGAATTCATGGCATTTCATATGGGATAATATGATATCTGCATTATCAAGATCCGGGACAGCAGGATTTGACTGTACATGGGAAGAAGGGGGGAGATACAAGAGAAAGTAGGAGGGGGTTACAGTGAAAAAGGGGGGAGACCTACAAGGAAAATCAGGGGGAGGGAAGAGGGGAAGAGAGTAGAAGTAGACAGGAAACAGGACATCGAGGCAAATGTAAATACATATTAGTAGTCACATACTATATGTGAGTGAATGCATGAGTGAGTGAGCGAGTAAGTAAGCAGGCATGAAAGTAAGCAATAGAAGAATACTATTATAGGAAAAATAATTGAGATCACATATAAGATAAGAAATAGAGTAAAATTTACCATTTCGTATGACCACCTCTTGCTAATATAAGATCATGAATACGTTCAGTCATAGATGACGTATATCAAAGAATGAATTCAGGGGTTAGATTATTCCACTCCTCGATAATTGCAGAGCGTAATTCAGACACAGTTGTTGGTCTAGGATTGCGTCATGTAATATTTCGCTTCATCGGTTTCCAGCCTGCTTTGATTGGTGACATATCTGACAATGTTGCGGGCCAAGGAAAAACATATTGCCTAATACCAAGGTTATTAAGACCAGCTTTTGTCTTGTTTGCTTGGTGAGCTGTTACTCCATCTTGTTGAAAGTAGATGTAGTCCGAGTAACTCTCCCGTTGGCAAAGTTGCTTCCACCATGGAAAAAGGATAGAATAGATGATATGTTGAAAATAGGTTTCCAATGAGATTTTTCCCCAGTCCTCTGTTTTCCAAATAACTAGCTGGGACTTTTGTGCTCCACAAATTGCTCCCCAAACCATCACTGTAGTAAGTTTCTAAAACTTAGGTACTAAGCAATCCTTATAATATTCTTCACTTGGCTTACAAGTCACCCAAATCGTTCCTAACAACTGACCACAATTGAAGGCAGCCTCATCTGAAAAAATGACATTACTCCAGACCAACTCCCTCCAATCTTGAAAGGTAAGCCTCCAATCCAGCCGTTTCTCTTTGCTTTCACCTTTCAAAAATGACTTTACTTGAGCAATAAGGTAGTTATAGCCCTCACTTTGAAATATTCGACGGAGAGTACAATCTGATACCCTTATGCCTACCAATTTGGTGATCTCAGTGAGTGGTAGGTAATGGTTGTAGGAACTTTTAGTTGCTTTTTCAATCAATTATTGTTTAATTGGCATGGTAAAAATCAGTTTATGTTCTCGTGTATTGGTAGTATGACCTTGAGAGCTAACCGGATAATAATGGATAACACGATGGAGGCTTCCTATTGGTACATCGAACTCTTCATGTAATTTGTGATATGTCCATCTACCTTGGCGATAGAGCCGTTGAATAGTATCACGTTCGGTCGCCGTCACAATTTAATACTTCTTCACTACTCTCTGAGGTCTTCCTTCTTTTCTCTCTACTGACTCTCTCTCTCCCAAGTCCCCTCCTCTCTCTGCTGAGTCCCCTTCTCCTTCTCTTTCTAGCAAGCCCTCCTCTCTCTCTCTCTCTCTCACTCGCTCTCTCTCTTCTTCCTCCCTTTTGTCCTTATCATCATATCCATCATTCTCTTTCCCACCCCCTCTCTCTCTCCTGTACTTCACTTCGCTTACCTTTTCCAACTTTTAGTTTCATTTTTACTAATTCTTTTTGTTATACTTACAGTAAATTTGGAACTGGTAGGATAACCAGTAGAGTTCAAGTCGCCTTGTCTCCTCTGTAAAGTTGGTATTCCATAGTTGTTTGATTGAAGGTTTTCGTAACGCCATTGAATATTATCATCGAAAGAGACTTCTGCTGCTCCTTCAATTGTGCTGGTATCACTATTCGTAGTGTGATTGGAATGACTTATTTGTAAATGCGTTCGGTGTAACTTGAAGAGAGTTTTCAAAATCTTTGTTGGAAAGTGCTTCTGCTTCAGTTCATACTCTCTTATTTTTATCACTTTCTATTCATTTATCTTTGACAAGTCATCATAATTCACTAAAGAAATCAGGTTTTTGTAAATCATTCTCACTCTAACATCATACTGTTGTCATCAGGATTGTGTTGCGTCTGCCAAGTTTTGGTCTGGGTTATTCTACACTAGAGGCTGTCGATCTCTTCAGTTGTTCTGGCCAGCTTAATACTTCCAACAATAACCCGGTTCCGCGCATACTCGATTTTTACATCCATATCCGAGTACCAAAGGCTACCTGCTAAACATACGCGTTGCAACACCAATATTTCAAGCCGTAAACCCTAACCCTGCAGTGCCCCCCAGAAAGCCGTCTCGAATTGGCGTCCAAGCAGCGCTGACACCTCTACGGACTTTCGTCTAGGCGATGTTACTGCTCGTGAGACAACATAGCTTAAAGGCTGTATATTAGAGGGGGCTTGGAGTCTCCCGTTGACTCGTCAAATGAGGAAAACTTTCCGTGAGTGAATGAAGTTAATTTTTAATAATGATATCAAGCTTAAAAGCTTGCTAGGTTGCTATTTGAAAGACCGCTCCATGTGTGTGGTTTAGTTTTTAGTCTTTGGTGCTTTGCACGCCGAATTTTGATACCGATGCTTCTTGCTAGAGGTCACCTACCCTATGGGTTCCCTCTTCTGGAGGGGTCACAACACGAAGAGTAGAGATACGATCAATTCTCCGGAAGAAATCGAGCACGTAGAGTGGATAGAGGCAATAGAATTCGAAGAAAAAAACAGACCCTCTCTCAGGGCGACTCCAGACCACTCGTTGGATCACTGCCAAAATGCGACCTAAGGATGCTTGCTGTGATCCCATTGATCCGAATCTACGCCCCGTCAGCCATCCTACCCCCGCCAAAATGCACCCCCGATCTTAAGGAAACTTACCCGGATGAATCCCCGGCTCGAAAATATGCTTCCTAGCACTCACCTTCCTCTCCCTATCAATTCCGAGCCTCCTGTTCCTGCCGTTGACCGCACTCTCAACCCCCTTCGTCTCCTTCAAGAAGCTGCCCATGAGCATGGGCGCGCCCAACGGCACCTCATCCCCGCGATCCACCTGCCAAAGGTGGTACGTCTTCCCATAAAGCTTCGCCAACTCTTCCATCTCCGCGGTCTCAGCCTTCTCCCACACCGCCTCTGGAATGAGCGGTGGATTCGGCATGACCAGCACCCCGCCCTTTACTTCAAAGACGTGGGAGTGCCAGAGCTTGCGCTCTTCTGCCGGAAGTGATTCGTAGATGCGTGGGGTTATCATATATTCTACGCCGATCAGGCGGGCGTTTTTTTCGGGAGAGTCGTAGATTACGCATTGGCGGATGTCCGGGATCTGTCAGCCGGGAAGAGCAGAGAGGGAGAAGTGGAGGATGCACCTTCGGTGATGTGGGCACAGTAGTGCTGTGCTTCGACTATGCGCGCGGGGTCGTCGGCATATACGTGGAAGGCATTGAGCCATGCGCAGATGTTGTTTACTGGGTCGAGATTCTGGTGATGGTGAGATATACTCTTAGAACAAGAGGAAGAATAAACCAACTTGTGTCGCCTTAACAGCTCCTTCCAAAACCGACTGAACGCTCGACACGGGTTCTCCAGCAGTGTTGCCTGTCTCGCAGTGTGCCATTCTGGATACTCTTCGCGATTGATTGGGATCATGGGCCTTTCCTGCAACTACTTACAACTGCGAATGTGGTGGGCATGCTGTTTATATAAAGGTTGGGGCACCCTAAATATCGGCTAATTTGTTTCTATGGCGAGTGCCTGACGTCACATTTCATTCACCACGGCGAACAATACTCGTTGAACAGTGGTTGTGCTGTAAATTACAGTGCTGTAGAGAACTTGATTTCTGCCTGGGCGGCATCTGCCGGTGTAGCTGTAGTCTGCGAGTACAGCAGCTCTTGCAGTGAGTTGGCTGTTTCGGGAGGGTTTAGTCTGAAGAGTTTCTCTGAGAACGATAAAAATCTCTCATACGAGGTGGTTCCTAGTTTCCGCACCGTTAAGTTTTTGGGGGCGCTAGTACTAGACTGTTAAATCCACCTTTGGGTGTATCATGAACTGGGTCCTGTAGGAAGAGTTCTGGAGTTATAGGCAATCAGAGGACTCAATACAAGAGGGGTTTCAACTAATTTACCGGTATTACAAGACTAACCTAGGGATCCCTTTGAGTAGGGAGGCTGAGTCTGAGAACGATACTTGCACAAGAATCGGAAGGCAGGATAGTTGGTAAAACCATCAGACATCCAAAGTGTTTTCCTTTGCGAGCCGAATACGATCCATTGTTAATTTGGGCACCATGCTGTAAATTTAGTTGTAGAACCTGAGAAGTATAGCAAAAAAAACCGGAGGTATCATAATTATGATAGTGGGTAAAAGCGATGAAGAATCATGCTATCACACAAATCTGGAACCTGATTCTAGGTCTAGCTCAGGCCGGACGAGTGTTAAGTTATGATCCAAAGTTCAAACCTTGTGACGCTGCCAAGCATTCGGCTCCAGCCACAGCAGCCGGGACAACACCTCTACTACGGTACTCAAATTCTCGCAACGCCAAATCCCAAGGTCCCAACAGCCCCAACCTCATTCCCAAAACTTTCCCGCAATGGACACCGAGGACCCGAAAGAAGCCTCTAGTACTCACGGCCGCGAAAGCCGAAGAGACCGAAAACGAGAAAGGTCCCGAGACCGCGGCCGCGAGCGGAATGACCGTGAGCGCTCCCACCGACACCACCGCTCCGAGCTCCGTTCCGACCACCACAAATCCCACCACTACTCCCACCGCGAAAGACCCAGTTCGAGATTGAGATCCAAAGACCGGGACCGGGACCGCCACCGTAGGCGGGAGGGCGATTCCTCTGACCGTCATCACCATAGCCACAGAAGAAAACGTTCACGCCATGAAGACGAAGATCGGAACCGTCATCATCGTAAGTCCCGGAAGGTCGATTCTCCTTCCCCTACCGAGAGGAGGAGAGAAGGGGAACCCGCAGACCCACTGGGGCCGGAAATGCCCAACTTTTCGAAAGTCCCCGATACCGTTCATAAACCTACGCTCACACGCGACTCCTGGATGCAGGAGCCCGATGCCGACTTCATCGACTACACACAGAAAGGGGCGGGGAAGTCTACACTAAAGCCAGTGGCTAAGCCGGACTATCGACCGGTAATTCACAGGAATGAATTGAATACGCAGTTGAAGGAAGGGAAGTCACTGGATGAGTACGCTGATGAGACGGAGGAGGAAGTAACGTACACCTTTGGTGACGCGGGTTCGAAGTGGCGGATGGTGAAGTTGAAGAGGTGTTACGAGTTTGCGAAGGAGGAGGGGAGGGATGTTGAGAGTGTTGCGTTGGAGAGGTATGGCAACCTAAAGGAGTTTGACGAAGCACGGGAGGAAGAGATTGAATTGGAGAGGAGGACGACATATGGGAAAGATAGGAAGGATGTGAAGGAGAAGCCGACCGGGGAGCTTTATCGACAGAGGATGAAGAAGGCGGAGGCCGAGGAGAATGCTAGGCAGTCGAGAGAGAGGGAAAGATATGGGTCTGAGTTGCCCCGGGGGAGGGTTATTGAGACTGTTCCAAATACGAAGACCACGACCCCCTTAGATCAGACTACGTTGAACAGAATGCAGGCTGCTCTGATGAAAGCACAACTGAGAGGTGATCCGAAGGCTGCCGTGATGGAGGGGGAGTTCAACGAGGCTATGGCGGTGGCTATGGCGGCGAACAAGAAGGAGCCAGAAGTTGTAGTCCTATCCGCCATGGATTCAAGAATGCTAGCTGGCTTAGGGGGGCGAGTCGGTAGGGAAGTAGTAGAGGGAAAGAAAGGCAAGCTTGTAGAAAAGGACGATATGAGCTTAGACGACATGGTCCGGGAAGAGAAGCGAACCAGAGGCCAAGTCCGTGGTGGTGAAGGCATGCTCCTGGCAGAAAGAATCTCACGAGATGCCAAATTCGATGTAGGTCCTAATTTGCCATCCCTAATCACGCCTATACTAATATCTACAGGATAACCTCGACTACCTCGATGAAAACGCCGGCCGCCTTGCAAAACGAGTTCAAAGGAACGAAGTCGACCTGAAAAACATGGCCATTAGCGAATTCAAGAAGATGCAGAAGGTACTCGACAACTGTCCCCTGTGCCAACATGAGGACAAACCACCCATCGCGCCCGTAGTCTCACTTGCAACAAGAGTCTACCTAACCCTCCCCACAGAACCAGAATTGACGCCGGGCGGAGCAGTCATCGTCCCCATCCAGCATAGGGTAAACATGATGGAATGTGATGACGACGAATGGGAGGAGGTCAGAGTAGGGCCCCTTACCCATCACAGAATTATTTTTTTTTTTAAGGAAAAAAATTTAACATTCCATCATAGAACTTCATGAAATCCCTAATCCGCCACTACGCTTCCAAAAACCAATCCGTCCTCTTCTACGAAAACGCTGCGTCGCCCGAACGCAAGCGGCACACTGCCATAACTGCCATCCCACTCCCGCAAGAGCTCGGTGACACGGCCCCCGCCTACTTCAAAGAAGCCATCCTCTCAGCAGACGAAGAATGGTCGCAACACAAAAAAATAATAGACACTCTCGCGAAAGCGCGCTCAGGACTAGGCAAGACGGCATTCCGCAGGTCGCTGGTCAAGGAGATGCCATACTTTCATGTATGGTTTGAGATCAACGGCGGGATGGGCCATGTCATTGAGGATGCAAATCGCTGGCCCAAGGGCGACTTGTTCGTGAGAGAGTTGGTGGGCGGGATGTTGGAGTGTCCGCCTGACGTTATTAAGCGACAGGGACGCTGGGTTAGGGGCAAGGACACCAGGGTCGAGGGCTTTAGGAAGGGGTGGGAGGAGTTTGATTGGACAAAGGTTTTGTATGATAATTAGAGCGGCGGGTGGATAAAGTACATCGTTGGGGTGCGGATGTTTGTATAATACAACAGGATATAATAATAATATTATGCAATCGACATCCAACTATGAAGTCTCATGCTATCACATCTAAATAATCTATATCCCAAAAAAACAACAACACACTCAAAGCCACAATCCATCACTCGCGCAACCCAGCTCCAGAGTTACCACTACACACCACCACCAGCACCATTGCCCCCCCCCCACGCACCCACGGACCAACGACAAGAGGTGTCCGCGATTAAAATAAAATCCACGCCCTCAAGCAAACCGCGGGACTTGAGGTATCATAAAGAGCACAAAATGCAACGTCACGGAAGGCGGGGAGGTATACTATCGCAGGTCACCATGGGGCTCTTGTGTCGAGTTTATATACTCACGGTGTGTACTGTACCGTGACGGGCGTTATCAATGGAGTGGTGGTGGCGATGAGAGGTGCATTCTATGGTAGGGGATTATTTTAACAACCTGTGATGTTATCATACATCCATCGGTACTCCTCAACCCTCAAATCTGGGCGCCATGCTGATGGTTACTGTGCAGGAGAGCTCAACTAAGCTTATAAAAATAAAGTATACCATTGTAATGTACAGTAGTGTGGCCCCCGTACCCGATAACGAAGAGCAAGGGGTATTCAATACACAACCTTAAGCTTTCAGGAGTCTATATTATTACATCGTAATATGACTGGATTACAGCCAGTCCCAAAATCACAACCTGCCTTGACCTGAGCCCACCGAACAAAGAGCAAGAAGAAACGAAAGGAAGGAAGACTTCTATTCGGAACTTTACACCACTATGCTCTATCACTCAAGGCCTATCCATTACCCTCTTCGCATTACTGCCCACCCCAACCACACAAATGTCAGCTCTATCCGCAACGGCAACCAAAGTGATGCAGTGACTAGTGGGGAGGGGGAGGGGGGAACAAACCTGGTGTGCGCCAGCAAAAACTTGACGCAAGTGAGGGTGTACTTACACGCTCTAGTCCATGCCTCATCCTGGTTAAATGCAAGGCGGATGCAACTGTCCCCGATCTTCTCCTTGACGATCTTGTACGGCAGTTTCACTTGAGAATCAGTTCTCTCGACAAACTCGCCAAGTTGGCGGAGGCATTCCAGGAATGCCATCATCGCCTGGTCGAATTTGCGGTGCATGAACATCCGGCCCAGCGGGAGGTCACCGGATGAAAAGAGCTCTAGGACTGTGATCTTGGGTTCGTTGGCGGGGTTGGTGGGTGGGTCGAGTCTTTCTATCTTAGAACAAGAGCCCATGGGTTTTAGACGGTAGGAGTCGAAGGTGAAGTTTAATTTTTCGGCGATGGTAGCAAGGAGGAGAAGGGTTTGGCCCCAGGCTGCGTTGATTTCGGTCCATTCTACCTGTTTTTTGTGTAAGTTAGGAAATGGTATTCATTTGGGGGGTTACACACAGGCTGGTTGGGGAGCCTTCCCAGCCGCAAGCCATTTATTGTGCCAAAGTACCCATCGTGGCCAATACAAAATGTGTCATTATACACATTTGTCCTTTGCAGTTTCTCCAGCTGCCGAGAGTCATGATCGTATTGGAGGTTAACCCCATCCCGTTCGTTCTGGAAAGCCTCTAATCGAAGCGAGAAGGAGTTCTTCTCTCTCCAAAACTCTTGCTCTTCCTTATCTAACTTCATTTTCTCTTCCTCAAGAGCCTTGATTTCGGCCTCGACATCCGCTTTCTCCTGCTCCATGTCCTGTAGCTCTCGCAACTCAGCCGCAGCCTGAGCCTTCAGTTCCTCTAGCTCCTTCGCAGCAGCTTCATGTTCCGCATCTGTAGGTATCTCTGCATTGACTCGCTTAAGATAATCTACATATGCGTCACGTTCCCTCGTGACATTTGCGTAGCGTTTAGCCAACCCTTCGGTCAACATCTCCGAGCACTCTTGGCATATCGGATGATCTATATCTGACCTCGAAGATAAAATATCGAACAAAACTGCAGAGGTCTTCATCTGCTGTGACAAGGCGTTCTGATCATGGTCATTCCCAATAGTGTATTCGGCTTGCAAAGAGCTTCCCGTGCTGCGAGATGCAGTTTGTGTTGGCGGGACAACCTGCGATTGCGATAGCATAACGTATGAATCCACAGGGTTTTGATAAATTGATTTCGAGTTCTGTCGGGAATGTGGTGCCGTCAGGGACGGTGGGTGCTTGGGTTGAACCATGTGTTTGAATAATGGGGCTGGGGAGTTTCGGCTCGCCTTCTCGTAAACATCTTGTCGGTCCTGAGGATATGTTGGTCGCTGCGGGGTAGATGCTTGGTCTACAGAGTGTGGACGCTCGTTTGCGGAGGATCCTAGTCTCGGGTTTGAGTTATGAGCCTGGGCGTGCAATTGTCAGGGTGCGAGCGGTAAGGGAGTAGGGTAAAGAGCTTACCAACTAAGAGATTGAACGCTGCCGGGCTGAGGTCTTCTAACGATCCGTGAAGCCTTATAGTCTGTCGGCATTTCTGACACTTCATGATGAATAGCGGGGTGCAGTGGTTGAGGCTGGGAAACCTTTGTCCGGAAACTGGAAGTAATAGGGTAGCCAGAAGGTAAACTTATGAGAGACTGGAGCGACGGGTGTCTCCTTCTGTCAGAAACACCGTACTGATGTGAGCCAGGAAGTGTACCGGTAGATCGTCTATCTTTGCTTTTGTGAGGTTCAGAGAGGAAAATGTGTTGCTGTGGTACCGTAATCTATCTCCCCCGGAGTTGTTGGGTAGTGGGTCTGATCCAGGCTCTAGGAACTTCGTCATGCGCCGAAACCTCTCTAGAGTCACGTGACCATTTCACCAACGAATCTTATAGAAGGGTCTAGTTATGGCCAGGTATGTTTATGGTGATAAACCGTAGCCTCAGTATTCCGTTCCAGCTGTTTCGCTCTGACCTCTAGAATGTAGTCTAATTTCAGCGGGGAGAAACTGCCACCTCCCTTGGGAGTATCGAGAGGGGTCCCATCACAAGCAGGCGACGGGTTCCAAATTAATATCCACGCTAATTCTCAAGTTATGACCTGAAGGACCGTTTCCGGCCAAGCCCAGTAGAACAGGGTCTGGCAATATATGTAGCCATCCTACGATAAAACAAGCCCCCCGGGCTATCATCAAGTAACTCTCGCAGTATCACACTTGCATTGCATTACAAAGGAAAGAATAATGAAATTGAAGCAGTGAAACCCTCTACAGAAACTCCAGTTTTATGCTACACACACGCCGTTCTATGAGAAAAAAAGACCCAATACCTCACAGGCATCAGACTCCATGCAAAGACATTGTCTGTCTTAAGCTTTTTTTGTTCTTCTCCTTGTGTTCCTGCTAGGGGTATCCCGCACCTCTTCTTTCGTCTCGATCTTCACCATAGGCACCTTTTTCGCTTCCTCGGTCCGGAGCTCTCCCGTTCTGCTTCTGGTACCCCTGCTAGGGGTATATATTGGAGGAGGTATAAGTGAGGGTGGAAGCTTTGCCTTGGCTCTTTCTTCGTGTTGCTTTGCCTCCTCCTCTTCTAATACTGTCCTAAGGGCCTCCTTTCTCTGGCGGATCTTCTCCATTAGTTCCTTATCTTCTCCATCGGGCTTTAGCTCGTCTTTCATGTCTTCCTGAGCCTTTTTCTTGCCCTTCTCTTTGGCACGCTTAATGGCTCCTGCCTTTTCGGCATCCTTGATCATGAGCTCGGCGAGCTCCCATAACTGCCTTCCAAGTTCCGGCGAAGAGAGTTCGCCCGCGCGGTACCTGCAGAATGCTAGTTAGCACAACGCCAAACTTTACAATGAGCTGTCTCTCTTACTTTTGGTTCTGGCATTCTCTGAGAAACTTTCCACCCTCCCCCATCCCACATTCTGGGCTCATGGCTGCTGCCAAAAATGACTGAGCCCCTTGTTGCGGATCCTTCAAAACCAGCCACCAGATCGGCCACATCACCAGATAGACTCCCAGTCCCCAGAGACTGCCCATAGTAATCCATCTTCTAGCTCCGGGGGTGCGTACAAGTCCTGGATCGATGTTGTAAATACGAACATTGTTCGGCTGTTTATCTGGCCGAACAAAGGAATCTAGGCGCCTTTGAAACTCAAGGCAGAAGGCCATCAATGCCATTTTCGAAGCTCCATAGCATAGCCATGGTCTTCCGAAAGGATATTGTCGTCGGAAGAACTGAGGGTCATTAAGATCAAGGTCGCCGGCGATATAGCTAGAACATGTAGCAAGTAATATACGGACATCTCTGTCCGGAGGTTGAGCTCTCAAGCACGGCGCAAGAATATTCAACAACTGGAAGTTGGCGAGAAAGTTCAATCCCCAGTGCGCTTCAATTCCGTCTTTAGTTGTAGTCCGAGGGGTATACGGTGGCGCCATCACTCCGGCGCAACAAACGACCATATCGAGTCTCCGAGGGGGGGTGTTGTCGATGAACTTGGTAGCAAAGAGACGAATGTCGTGTAAGGACGAGAGGTCGCATTCTTCCGCATAGATAAAGGGATTGCCGTGACGTTCGCGAAGGTCTTCGATGTAATCAACCGTGAAAACATCTGATACGTTCCGGACAAGAAGGATCAAGTGCGCCCCTCTAGCAGCAAGATCGTTGACCACAGCAGCGCCTACTCCCGATGTTCCACCCTAGCACCTAGAGCTTAGTCTCCAACCCCTACTGGAGGTGGTCGAGTGTGTGAACATACTGTTATTATTGCGACCTTCCCGTGCATCACACGTTCATTTCTATTTCGGTATCCGTTGAAGTAGAGCTTCAAGACGACTACCACAAGAATCCACGGCGCGAACTTAAGAACTGGTAATAGATATGGTACTGAATCGATCCCGTTGTAGTAGATTTCCCCAAGTATGGGGATAGGCATATTGTTGGAAGGGTGGAAAGAGAAGCGATGGATATTAGGAAAAGCGGAAAAGAAAGGAAGGGAAAAGGGGAGAAGCTCCCGAGTATGATAGAAGCGTTGAGGTAGAAACGTGGAAGGGGTTCTGGGGCTTGCAGGTTCTGTCCCTAATTCTTGTGTTTCGCCAAGAGCTAGCCTTATTCTAGTGGGTTAGGGTTGCTCGAATTCATCGATGCGGTATCTTGCACCAATGAATACAGCAGTCTACTGGTACTGGTATGATATGAAGAGATGTCAACTATATACCCCGCTGCTGGAGTCTCTAATTCTACAGTTTTTCATAAAGAAGGAAAAGAGAAGGCAATCATAATTTTGTTCTATGTGCAGATTCCCTAACTACCATACCGTAGCACTCGTTAGGACACAATTATCTGAGCCCGACCACCATAGATCAACCCAGTAGCCAAAAGACAAAACCCCACGGAAAAAAGGAAGCTGCCGTAAACTTTTGGGGACTAAAACAAAACCAATAGTTGAACTAAGGGAATAAGAGAACAAAAGAAATAGATGGAATGTGAGAAAATAATAATTAGCGAGTTGACATGGCTACACAATTATTATATTAGTGGGGTTCTATAGTACCGAGAAGTGTAATAAATTCATACCTTTTGTGACAGTCCTCTTGAGGGCAAGCTCCTTCTTCTTCAAGTCATCGGCACTGGCATCTTCAACCTCAAGTTGAGCCATGGCATCACTGAGAGAAGACTCGATCTTTTCCCGAGCACCCCTCTTCAATTTCAAGCTCATTGTCGGATCGCTAACAATCTCCTCAACTCGTGAGATGTAAGATTCAAGTTGTTGCCTAGCCTCAAACTTCTTGGAATAGGCATCATCAGTAGACTTGAACTTCTCCGCATCCTGAACCATCTTCTCAATCTCGGTTGAAGAAAGTTTTCCGACCGAGTTGGAGATAGTAATGTTTGCGCTTCTACCAGTTGACTTCTCGATAGCGGTAACCTTGAGGATACCATTGACATCGACCTCAAAGATGACCTCCAGAACAGCATCGCCAGCCTTCATTGGAGGAATTGGAGCAAGAGTGAACTCTCCAAGAGAGGTGTTGTCCTCGCAGTTAACACGCTCACCTTGGAAGACGGGAAACTGGACAGTGGTCTGGTTGTCGGCGACAGTGGTGAAAGTCCTCTTCTTGATAGTCGGGACAGTTTGACCACGCTATAGCATAGCAGTTAGCAGATGAACAAGTGAAAGTAGGGGACCATATACTCACAGGAACAACAGGGGCGAAGATGTTACCCTCCATAGCGACACCCAAAGAGAGAGGAACAACATCAAGCAGGAGCAAATCGGCTGTCTCATCAGAGGTAGCCTTGCCGGAAAGAATACCGGCCTGAACGGCGGCGCCATAGGCAACAGCCTCGTCGGGGTTGATACCCTTCTCTAACTTTTTGCCATTGAAGAGGTCGCTCAACAGCTTCTGGATCTTAGGGATGCGGGTAGAACCTCCCACCAAGACGACCTCATCGACAGCAGACTTAGCGAGACCAGAGTCCTTAAGGACCTGCTCTACAGGTGCGATGGTGCTCTTGAACAGAGAAGCATTGATATCCTCGAAACGGGCACGAGTAATAGAGGTGTTGAAGTCCTGACCACCAGAGAGCGAATCGATCTCGACAGTGGTCTGAGTAACAGAGGATAGAGTACGCTTGGCACGCTCGCAGGCAGATCTAAGACGACGAAGAGCGCGAGGATCATCGGAGATGTCAAGTTGGGTCTTCCTCTTGAACTCGGCTTTAAAATGGTCCAAGAGAGCAGTATCAAAGTCCTGACCACCCAAATGAGTGTCACCAGCAGTTGCCTTAACAGTAAAGACACCACCTGAAAATATTAGCCGCCGAAAATGCAAAAGACTTGCACCAGACGAACTTACCTTGAATGTGAAGAAGAGAAACGTCGAAAGTACCACCACCGAGATCAAAAATGAGAACGTGTCTCTCCTTATCAGACTTTCCAGCGCCCAACCCGTAAGCAATAGCGGCAGCGGTAGGCTCATTGATGATACGGAGAACATTCATGCCAGAAATAGCGCCAGCATCCTTGGTAGCCTGACGCTGGTTGTCATTGAAGTAAGCAGGAACAGTGATAACGGCCTTCTCTACGGCCTGTCCAAGCTTGGCCTCGGCAATCTCCTTCATCTACACATGACCAAGAAAAGTTAGAAATACGTTCATGTATCAAGGTTTAATGTTTACACACCTTGGTCAAAACCATGGATGAAATTTCCTGTGGCGAGAATTGCTTCGTCTCTCCAAGATACTCAACCTCAATATATGGGTTCCCTTCACGGTCAACGACCTTGAAGGGCCATGACTGAATATCCTTCTTCACACTTGGCTCATCGAAACGACGCCCAATCAACCGCCTATGTTTCGAAACGAAATGTGTCAGTAAAAAATCCCCAAGAAATTTTGCATAAGAAGGATCTCTAAATATAAGAAGGGGGGTTGAAGGTCAGAGGACATGGGAAACCTACTTGGCATCAAAGACAGTATTCCTGGGGTTCAAGGCTGCCTGATTCTTTGCAGCGTCGCCAATCAACCGCTCCTTCTCGGAGAAGGCAACAAAAGAAGGTGTAACACGGTTACCCTGCTCGTTGGCAACTGTCGGAGCAGGAATGTCAGTCCAGCTAGCAAAAGAGAATAATTTTTATGTTTGCGAATTTCATCCGGGTCAAAGTCCAGCAAACTCAATAGAAGGTGGAACCAACTGATTTCAACGCCGTTACCCTCGTAGATGGCAACACAGGAGTAGGTTGTACCTGCGAAAGGGAAAAACCCATGGTTAGCCATACGAACTTAACAAGACCAAGGAGAAATGTCAAAAGATATGAATGAAGAGGGGGAATTGCATACCAAGATCGATACCAATTGCGCCTTCGTATTTTCCTTCCATTTTTGGTTTTTTTTTTCCCTATAAAGTATTGGGAGGAGGATGGAGATTTTGTGGAGCAAAGGGGAGAGAGAGGTGTGGTGAGAAGAGGAGGGGACGAGAGGATGAAAGTGCGTTTTCTTGGTGAATTTTTTTCTTCTTTATCCCCTCCCCCTCCAATGAGTGCGTCCGCATTTGGCCAAAAGCGGGGGTTAGTCAGCACTTATCGGGATGTTTTTTTTGTTTTTTTTTCTCCCGAGCCCTACAAGTACCGGTACTATAATTTACTCGAGCATTTGAGGACGGCACTCTGACTTCAGGTTGCCGGTCAGACGCCATGCGGGAGGGTTTCACTGAGGTTCAACCTCCCTAGCGCGCCAAAGTAGGTAATTATAACAGAAAAAGACCCTTTAACCAGCTTAAAACATCTTCAACTCAATTCCCTCTCTACGAACTATGATACCAATCGAAAGAATTTAGCAAATACCTTATCATGAGCAAAGTTTTATCCACAGTACTTGAAAGGTTGCTCTAGTACAATCCAAATTTGTTAGCTTCTGTGGAGGTTGGTCTAAAGAATCGTCTGCACTTGTGCACGAGTAGTCTACCGTACAGGTAGGAGACCGCAGCCTACCGGTAGCCTCTCGTGGAGAATCCCATTGGCATACTTAGTATCATACGAGTACTGTAGATAATATGATAAGATACTTGTAGACTTTGAGGTAGGGGTGGAAAGGGAAAGAAAAGAACCCTAATACTGGTACTTTTGTATTGTAACATACCCGGACAAACTCTCTGGAGTGGAAATGGCCAGGGTTTTGTCCCCCCGCTAAGGGCGTATTTGGTTGTGGTTTCGCTACTCTGGGTTAGCTGCGCTGACAGGTGCAGGGATGGGGTTTTTTTTCTTTCCTCACCGCACGCTAGCCGTATGATACTTGACACACCATCGCGCTCTGGGTGCCTAATTGATTCCATCCCTACCGGTAATTCTATCCCTGAAGGCTTCCTCAAATCACTCTTCGACCATACTGGTCTAAATGCTTGAGCTATGATATGATATTCTAAAAATTTCCTCAAATGGGCTTCCGTACTAGTAATAATCCCGCTTTGTAACGAGTCAATGGATACGCGAAAGCTATTATATGAGTATCCCGAGGTCTATCTATCTACCGTATTGTGTCCCTGGTTTATGGAATTTCTGGAACCTGTTCCCAACGCTGCCACCTCACCCCACGACATCTGTGGATCTTGTAAGCTATGGGTGGTGGAAGTGGTCAAGTTAAAACGGTTAGCGATCGGCTCTTGTTGCAAAATCTCACCCGAAGTTCTGTTCACCCAATCGACTAGCCCCCCAGTTCCCCAGCCTTTAAAGGAAGTGAATAATTATACACACTCTTCAGCGCTTATTGGTAGTCTCACCAAGCGAAGCATGGACATCTAAGCTCTTAGAAACATGGTAAGTCAATCATTGACCGGTCGACGGGGAATGCCGTCCCTGAGTAGACTACTGTATCATACATCAGCGCACTCCTAGAGAAACGCCTGGTCGCAAAGCACGGAAATATCAGTACCATATATGCCTTCTATTTTCAGAGCGAGTTCATAGCGCACCGCACAAGCGCCGCCAGAGCTACGCCGCCACAAAACTTGAGAACTTATATTACACCAACCATCAGGCCACAGCACGTTAGGCTGATGCGGCATTGGAACAGATTACAGTATACAGCTACCCAACCACAACCACAACCTCATACCTCATACCTCATACTTCCCCGAGGCGATGCGAACGGCACCTGGATGTGGGGGCAGGGCGGCGATAAAAAAAGTAGAAAGAATCAGCGTAATTACCATGATATCCCATCACATACAAAGTAAAACAAAAATATGAACCAAGAAAGACAGAGAAGAAAGCTAGTGAGCCCCTCAATACCCATTGTGCTTGCAAACAATACACTTGAAGGCCCACTCGTCGCTAGGGCCATTTTCAGCGAGTAAGTTATCCAAACACTTCCGATGGAAGATGTGCCTGCAGTGGAAAACTACCAACTCCCCTGCTTCTTCCTCCTCGGTATTGCCAGCACCGCTAGCCTCTCCTGTTTCCTCCGGCAGATCGGTTGTCACCCGCGCGCGGCTTTTCCCCCTCGCGATGGCAGATAAGGGTCCTTCGGAAGCTAGTTTTCGCTCCTCCCGTATGCTTTCGAGTCGCTGCGCGCTTCTTAGTCTCGCTTTTTCCCACGCACTGTATATACCGCCAGCGGCACCAGGGCCCCAGAGCTTCTTGTTGCAGGCTTCGCAGGTTTGATTTGCTGGGCGCCAGCCTTTTTGGCGGAGCGTTGCGGCTTCGTCGACGTGCACGAATAAGTCTTTTTCCAGGAGGCGGTTCGCCAGGGCGAGTATTTGCTCTTCGTAAATGTAGGCTTCAAAGATGTCACCGAGGACGTTACGGAGGTCTCCGAGAGAGGGGGAGGCTTTTGATGCACGGAATAGGAACGCTCGGAGAATTTGTAGGAATGAGACAGTCCGTGAGGAGGATGTTGCGGTGAGCAGCGCTGAGAATACCGTCTGGACAAACATTCGGAGCGAGACGGCCACTTTTTCGCTATCAATCTCTATGACATCTTTTTCATTCAATGTTTCATTTGCCTCTTTAGGTGTGCGGCTGCCCGCAGGTGGCCCTCCCTGGATGGATATGCAGTTCCTCGCTATACGCGCAACGGTATCTACGAAATCCAGCCAGAGCAGCTCCTCTTCGTTGAGCGGCTCGTTGTTGGATCTGTGTTTTGATCTGATGGTCTTGAGTAGTCGTTTCCCAGTTTTCATCTGGCCTTGGCAAAGCCAAACACCTACTTGCGCATACTTCTGTAATGAACGCAAGCTCCCAGAAATTGCCTCATTGTTTGATTGTGAGCCATGCGCGTTTGCGGCCGCAACAAGTAGGCTTTCTAGGGCTATTTCCAGAGTCCCTAAGTGCACTATGAGCCTATCCATGGCTTTTCGTATCTCCCCTTCACGAGCCATTAACATGACGGCGGCATCCATAACCCCACTGCTCTCCATTGCCGGCAATACCTTATCCAATCGAAGGTCTCCAGATTGAAGACCGCCAACGTAGGTATTAACATGATCGGGTTCAAATTCACACATAAGTCGGATATAAAGTTCTACAAATGACACGTTTTGTGTCACCGCTGGTCGCTTGAAATTATTTCCTTCCTTGGTATCTGAAGGTTCGAGGATTGTCCGAAGATATAGGGAACTGCCCCTGTATATAAGTTTCAGCGCGTCATTCTTGTGACTAAATCACATCCATGCACACGTATTGATGATGGTAGCCGTCCGAGCACAATCTATGCCCATCAGCTGTCGTGCGTGTTGTTCGATAACACGGCGAACTTCCTTTGTTTGTTTTTCGTTCAAAATGCTACCTGGTCGCAGGTAATCCCAGATACAATCAAAAACAGCATCCTGTGACTCTCCGTCCTCAAAGTATGTTTTTGTAAGCCTAGCATATTGTTTCTCGGATCGGAATATCGACTTGAGGACTCGGAAGAACTTAGCATTTGTAAAGAGTTCGACTAGAACATCGATATCGGGAGGGCGGTAAACGGTGAGCAAATATTCAATGCTTAACTGGCAGTCATCAGCAATATCTTCGCCGGGACAATTGCAAAGCCCAACGATCACACGATGCAAAGCGCTCCCCGAAAGTAGTATAAACTGAGGGTACTTTGGAATGTTCCTTGCGATAAGCATGTCCAGATAAATTGTGTCCTGGGGTGGAAAGTCGGTGGAACCCATAACTTCCAGAAGAATGCTGACAATATACTGCCGATTCATAGACGATTGGCAAAAGGCTTGCTCCTCGGAGACATCTTGCCTGAACGTTGCGTCTTCAGAATCTGCTGCACCGTTCAAAAACGGGTTCTCGAATGCTTCATTCAAAGCACTTAGAAAACTAGGCGCATCGAATTTGAGGATAAGTCGGAGATAGGGAAAGGAAGGCTCCGATTTTGGTACAAGACCTGTATAGAACGGTTTGCCACCCTGCTTAGGCCATGTTATTGTCCTCCCCAAAAACAGAAAGTAATAGAGTGCAGCCTTTGCATTTGACGCGTCCGGTTCCGAGAGATCCTCACCCGTAGGGTATACACGGCCTGTAAGAGTGTAGGACAGGTAAGGGAACACCTTCAGAGCATTTACAGCATGCATAGAGCTCTCGCTCTCCTCAACTCCGTTTTGAGGTGGAGGGATTAAGAGGGATAGCAAATCTATCATGGGGGTAATATAATCGCCGAGCGCTCGGTTCCAAACGTAGATCATCGCGTCGTAAAGATTATGTTGCTTGCATAGAGTCGTTACTTGGTCAATGTCCAACGTTCTTGTATCCATATGACAAATTATCTCCTCCAACCGACTGTCGAACTCGCGGGAAGTGTAGTGTGCGATGAGCGATTTGACAACTGTCGGTGGCACAGATCGAATCCTCCCTTCCAATATATGCGGCTCTAGTGTCTCAAGGAAAATGCCTTCAACAGACCCTTGTTCGAAGTGCTCAAAAGCCTCAACAAATAGAAAGTCCGTCGCACCCACACCTAGGCAAGCGTTGAAACACGCTGTTGCTAAATCCTGCAATTGTTCACGCTCCAACACTTCCTTTTGAGTAGACTTTTGATTTTTCCCAAAGGCGTACCTAAGAGACGCAGACATCATCTCCAATAGTCTTTCCCTTACAATTGGATGCCGTAATTCTGCATCTTCAGGAAGCCCGATGGTCAACTTGTTGGTCTCCCCAACGTAATATGCCGTAGCAAGGTGTATTGCTCCAATAAAGTCTCCAACCTCCATCATAGCCAGCAATCTATCGGCCCAATTGGACAATGCGCCAACCAAAACTTCGTATTGACACTGTCCGAAATTAGTTTACTCATCGCCAATATATGTATAAAATGGAGAGTTGACAGTACATACTAAAAGAAACATCCTTCCTTTATAGGCCTTGAAGCTGTTGTAAAAGGCATCTGCCACATGTGGATGGGATGATCCTTCGTCATCAAGGTGGTCGATCAGAGAATGCAGCTGCCCTGAGAACATGTCAAGATGCAAGATCTGCTTCGGCATCAGATCGAACGTTTCGGTCGCTCTCAGTGAAGTATCCTCAAGAATTATCAACCTCTGAGTAATTGTTAAAACACCAATTATCTACAACTCCATTAGAAAATGGCCAATATGTCTGTTATTCACGAAAAGTACCTGACGATTGATCCACTGTACAGCAACAATTGCTTCATCGCATCGGAAACGACTCTTAGGCCGGAAGTCCAAAACGGGTGGGCGGGTGGGGTCATTGTCCTCGGTCTCAATAACTGAAAGCTCTAACAAAGTCAAAATGTTCGACCAAGCATACACTAATCTCGCATTCAAACATGATTTCGATCCATTAGCCGCTTGCCTCGCCTTCATAAAAGGATACCAGGCCAAGCACCCTGATAATGCTGAGTAAGCTGCGACCTCTTTGGGTTTAGCAGCTTTATATTGTGTTTGTGCAATCGGAGTAGTTGAAACAATGACTAAGAGGTTAGGAGTCAACAGGGCCACAAGTCCAAGAGTGTCTGTCGCTTGTTGGAAGTTCCCCAATGGGAGAACTGAGAACCCAAGTACCGAACTAGGCTTGCGAGGTCGGAGCGACGGATTAACGTCAAATGGATATCGCCCTAGAACACGCGTAGTTTTTACTACCCTCCTAACTGCGCCTAACCCTCTAGTCGCCAAATGTGAGAATGCCATCCCTCTATCGTCGCCAGAAACCAATGCCGTATGTCTAGTGCCAAGAAACCCAAGATGAATTACTGAAACCCCTTCAACGTGACCATCCGTTTTTCGACCCTCAACCTGATCTAAAGGGAGAGGGGGTATATGGAGAAATGGCTGGCTAGGTTTGTTCAACTCCCAAGTGAAAATGTGCCCCGAATCGTGACCTCCTGCGATGGTGGTATGGTCGGCAGAAACGGCCAGAGCTGATATTGCTCCATGCTCGACAGCTATAATGGTTAGGCAGAGGTATAACTCAGGTGTAGATATCAAAGCATACCTTTTGTACCGGGCCCTATTATTCCTTGAAGACTCTGGTTGTAGTCGAAAACTAAAACGATGCCCCTGGAGGTTCCCAGCGCAATTGTCGCAGAGGCAATGATGCATGTAGGGGTACCAAAATTACGCCTCCCTCCCTCAGAAAACACTTGGTTTTTTATTTTCTTGAGTTTGGTCCACCGAACAACATCCCAAGGCGCTGACTGTTCTTCTGCCTCGCCGAAACTGATATCTCCTATTGAAGATGACCTCGAATGCGGTCCAAGGAGGGAGGGTGAAAGAGCTCGTGGTGATGGCGACCCTATGGGTGAGGCAGGCTGTAACCGCGACTGAAATCGTCTGTCAAAAGGCCGTAGAGACGGAGCAGGTGAAAATCGAGATCCCAAAACGCTACTCCCGCGTGAAGACGCCACTGACCCCTACGAGCCCCCGATATTAGCCATCAATAGGCAAAGCCGCCAAGAGATAGCACCTACTTGTATTGAAGGAGTATCGTCGGGGGCAGAAAGAGAACCACCAGGGCTGGTCTCGCCGTTTATTGAGTCCGAGAGATCTGGATGTTCGTTATCTGTTGGTTTTTTCGCTTGCTTAAATCCCTTAAAAGCCGTGCCATTTCCCTCTTCCCTAGCCTCCTGCAGGTATTCCAGAACTCTTGAAGTAGTTGTGTTCGTCATCGATTCCGGAACACCCCCATTCACCTCGAGCTCCCCCTCGTCCAAGTCCCGTATCACTTCAACATTCCCAACCTCATGCCTGTTGCCCTCTCTACTACTTTCGCTCGTCTCGGGTACCGAGCTCTCGTTCGGTATCGAGCTCATCGATTGGAAATCGGGTCAATTCGCATATCTTGAGTTCGCCGTTCCACCCCGAGGAGGCCCAAATCGTTCCTTCGTTCGGAATAAATGTTTCCGGGTTAACAAACAGGCGGATAACAACCGAACAAGATCTTCCGGAAACCTAGAACACCACAGAATTGCCTAAAATCTGATATTGGTTTTTCTGCTGGTAACGTGTGACGTACTTGGGATACCGGTATGCGAGTGTGAAGCTGCGGATGCTTTCCCACCAACAAGTGGAATCTGTTCCCGATGGGAGGTGAGATATGTTCTAAAATGTGCCCACCCCACGCGCACATCTGAGCCCAAACTAAATTCTATGTATGATATTCCCAAATTTGACAGACCCATGCATGAGCCGCGAAGCTCTCATTCAACGCACAACAAATTATCACCACATTCAACAGCAGCCATGGGTGGAACAGTTGGCCCATCAATTCCCCCTCATATCCTTGCGAAGAGAAAACTAGACAAAGAGGAGAATGCCGCAGCAACATCAAAAATCGGACTGTCGGCACCAGACGATCTGGACATAAAAAAGAGAAGGACAGTAGGCCCTGCGCCGCCTCCGCTCAATGAACAGCCAAATTCTGGATCCGAGGACGGTGATGACGAGACTATCAGTGATGATGATATAGGGCCGGCCCTACCTCCAAGCTCTGCGTCAGCTGTAAGGAAATCCTATTTCTTTTTACCTGTTAAGGGCATTAGCTAACTGGGCGCCGACCGGTATACAGGAAGAGGTAGAATTGGCAGCGCGGAGACGGCTGGCACAGTTTGCAGAAACAAAGTTTCAAAATTCCGACGGCGGAAAGGCGAAACGTGACGAATGGATGTTGGTTCCACCAAAGTCGGAGGATTGGACAACAAAAGTCGATCCAACCAAGCTACGAAACCGAAAGTTTCAGACGGGAAAGGGGTCTAAAGCCCCCCAGAAGCCAGGGGGAGACAATACACTGTGGACGGAATCACCTGAGGAGAAACGCAAGCGATTAAACGATGAAGTGATGGGTATCAAGAAACCAGCAACACAAACACAGGAAAAAGAAGGAAAGCATGGTGTCAGTGCTGCCGAGGCCGAAGAGACGGCCCGGAGAATTCGCGAATACAATGTAATACCCCTCTTATGCGATGATTTAACCCGATACATATCTGCCCGATACTGAATCGTTATTTACTGGGGTTTTAGGAGAAAAATCGCTCTCAATCGCTTTACGAGGAGCATAAGAAACTGGGGCCTCGAGAAAAGGAGGACGATCCTGGTGCTCGCGCGTTTGATCGCGAGAAGGATATCGCCGGGGGTCGTAGAATTGGTCACGCGCAAAAGAAGGAGATGCTGAACAGAGCCGCCGAATTTGGATCACGGTTCTCTTCGGGAAGCTACCTGTGATGTGAGTTCAGAGATCGGGATACGCGCCAACTATCTCATCGCACTTCTTTCTTTCTCTTTCAAAAAGCATGCTGAGTACCGGTAACCGTACCGATACGGTAGTCTGTGGCCCTCTTTTTTTTTTGGCAACTTTTCTCGTGTACGAGTATGATCCATGATTCGCACTGAAACCAGAAATGTCATGTCATGCTATGCTCAGGAACGCAGTCTCGACAAGTGGTAGACTAACTTATAATAGACTCAAGGCAACAGTTGACCTTGAAGTCTTGGCCCGGGCACTGCAGGTTCTGCACTTGGCGCAATAAACTATGATCTAATACCGGTACCGGTGCTCGGAGTAGAGTCTTTACATAACTGGACTTCGAAGGGTTGGGCAGAGAGGGTCGGGTGGCGTCTAGTCTTTGTAATTGTCGATTTACAAGTACAAATACGGGATATCGAAATCAAATTCTGTTCTAGTGTCCTCTGGAATTTGTTACGCAAAGGCTGTGATACGAGTCAGTTAGGCATAAACACCAAGACTTCCGCATTTCCAACAAGCAGCAGATTAATGTCTCTCTGTCTGAGCCCTAATAAACTTGACCCAATGTAGCAAAATAATTTCCCTATTTGAATCTGGAGGATTTCTTGGTACCATACATAGGGGAACGTTTTGGGTTTTCGTTGTTACGACGCTTCTCACATCTGAGAGTCTCCCGACTCCCGAGCGAGGCGAACGCCCCCTACTAGTGTATCACACCCAAGTCTCACACCAAGTTCAGTCTTCTATTTTACCAAATCTAGACTAAGCCCAGGCCAAGTGCGAAAAGCCACACCCCTACTCAACTACTCGAGTAGAACTAATGATAAGTTAACCGTCCGTCCCTCAGACCTATCCGTTCGCTCATCCTACTCGTAAACCACACCCTTTCGAACACTTCCTTCCGCCTTTTCAACTCGGGGCACCGACGTTCATCTGACCCGTTTTTTTTTCTCCCATTCATTATCCACTCTTAGATTTCCTTCGAATTTTCCAGCGTTGTTATTTTCCAGCCTTCCCCTGCCCTGTTTGTCGGGGTCAGTTCAGGGCCTCACAATTGCCCACGCGACATTTCCTGCTCCCTTTGTTTTCCTTTGTTTCCAACCTTTTCTCTTTTTTTTTTCTTTTTCCCCTACGCAACCGGACATGGCTGTTCTTAAGCGATGGCTAGATCTGGTGAAGAGGGATCATGGGCGTGATGACGATGATTGGCCTCACAGGAGTTGGTATTGGAATGATGTAAGTTCGATGCGTCCGCTTTCGCCCATTTTAATCTTGACGATGGGGTTTAACTGACTGACGAATGATGTTTCCTAGCAAGCAAGAGCAATTAAATGGGGAATCTTTTTTGGCATCTTGACTTTCTTCTTCGTACTCATGATGGCAATGTACTATCACGCCGACCGCCGGATGAAGAATGGACAGCCCCCTCTTCGCTATCACCGGGTACGTTTCTTACCTTATTCGTCGCGGTTTTCATGAGTGCGGGATGTAATTGTTAATTGATTGTGTTGGGGATGTGTAGTGGCTAGTACCTCGGACCCGGAGGGCCCAATTCGAACCAAACCTCCAACGACCCGAAGAGAACTTCTCGTTCTATCACCAGCAGCAACCTCAGGAAAATGATACATACGGAATGCATGCCGTGCCGCCTCCAGGTACAGAAACCCTTCTTACCGCAGACCTAAAGCATCGCTCGATGTTGAATCATAGATAAGAGGGAGAGGTGCTAACTCTCGCGCCCAATAGCTTACAATCCCAACTATCCCGAACCCCCCGTTTACTCTGGCGGTCCCCCAATCGGAGCCACAAAGGTCGACCCAGCAGAACATCCAGCGCATCACTTGGGTGAAGGTAGCAGCAGCGGGCCCGCTCCTCCTCCCCCTGTTGCCGTCCCGGCATCTACGCCGCAGCAGCGCCCACATTAAACCAAAGGGCCGATTGTTATGTCTTAACAGAAGGTTGCATTAAACTCTGGAGTCCCGTAATATCGTCTAGAGGACGGGAGAAAGAAGGAAGGATCATTTACCTGTAAATTTAGTTTCTCAAACCGTCTCACTCACTGCGTTCTGTGTTCTTAATTTTTTGCCCTTTTAGACCCTCATCCCGCTTTTACTCCTTTTGCTTTTGGTTACCGGACGGATGCACATAGCCATACATTTTCGTTTCAAGCAAGTTCGTACCATTTCTTTTTCAATTTCGTCTTATCGTCTACCACCTGATCTCTTTTGTTTGGGCGGGCATTGGGTTTTTTCATTTAAAGTTACATTGGGGGAGACGTATTATACATCATGGGCAGCAATTTTTAAATCGGAGATGGGACGGCTGGCGGGGGGGAGGTATTGGATGGGAGAAAATAAAGAGCTGATTTTTCAGAGAAAAACTTCACCTCTAGTTACAACTGCAGGTCCCTCTAGTTTTTATTACCATGTCGGTAGTGCAAGTATCGTAGTTAACCCCCCAGATAAGCCAAAGCAAATATCACGCAAACCAGAAGCAGTAGCAGTAGCAGCAAATAGTAAAACGCCGGGGGGGATAACCAAACAAACAAAAAACACCCCCCACCCCCAAACAATCAAATAATCTCAAAGGGGTAGCATGCGTGAAGGGGAGGGGAGGGGGTAGCTAACCAATGTCCATAGCATCCGGATCCTCATAAAAACCCCTCCCTCCTGCTATATCCCCACCCGTCTCCATCGAATCCCACTCATACCCTTTCTCCTCCTCCTCCTCCTCACCCCCCATCACCACCCCCGCAGCTTGGGTTACCGCCGCCGCAGCCTCATCAGCCTGTCTCTTCCGAATCCTGTTCCTCGCCTCAATAATCACTCGCCGAACACTATCCCTCTCCTCCGAAACACTCAACGAGCTCGGTACCGAATAAAGTACCAAATCCGTACTCGTCTCCCCCCCCCCACCGCCACCACTATGGGCACCACTTTCAGCAAGCAGGTAGGGAACCCGTGTCAGCTGCTTCTCAACGTCCGAGAGGAAGATGAGTTTCCGGGAGTCCGGGTCGTCCTCAGAGTCGTAGGACGCGATCTCTTCGTCGAGACTTTTGATAAAGATCACATTGTCGACGTCCATTCTTTCGGCTTCTGTTTGGGAGAGGGGGGTGCCACTGGAGGGGGTGGTGGTGGGGAAGAGTCGGGGTTTGTTAAGAAGCTCTACTTTAGGGGGTGTTAATTGATGATGGGCAAGAGGGGAAGCAGGGGAGGAACCTTTTTTGACGAGAGATAGTTTCTCCAGACGTTTCGATAAGGGCTGTTCCTCCAGCAGGTCATCGCTTGGAGGCCGCTTTCGTTGGAAATCTGTGCTCCATTCCATCACTGGTCGGTAGTGATGGTTTTCCCTTCCTTTGCTTCGACCCTTTTCGTAGGGAATTCTCATTCGTTGGTGTTTCCCCTCGCAGTCAATTACTCTCTCGATCTCTCGGTCTCTCTCTCTCCAAATCAATTTTCCCCGATTTTTTGGAAACGTTTATCTTAGGAGTAGTCGTCTACCGTGCTGTTCCGTGCTCGGGTTCCCGTTTGCGTTTGCGTATTATCCCCTCCACCTCCTCGGGAAGTTAGAGCAGAAATCGATCGTAAGTGCAACAACCTCTCCTCCAAAAACCATTGTTGTTATATAAAGGCTTCCCGTTAACCTAACCTAACCCAATTTCACTGTAATTGATCCGCCAGCGTAAGCTCCCGCTCGACCGCAGGGTTCGCAAGGGATAAAGAAGCGTCTAGAAGAGTCGATGGGATGGATGATGGTGGTTATCATGTGGGGGCAGGGGTTACGCAGGCTATCCCTCGTTTGTATGGGGGCGCCAAGGCTTGCGAGAAGGTTCCTGGCGGTGTCTTTGTGTGTGGGGACGTGCATGAAAACATGTGATTGGGCATCACTCGGTTTCGGGTTTTTTTTTTCTTTCTTTTCTTTGTTTCCTCTTTGGCGGGAAAAGCCTCTGGAATGGTGTGGGATGCAAGAGAGGCTTTATGTTGTGGTGATGGGCGTGTGTGACACAGTACCGTATGATATCATAAATTTACCATGTTGCAATACCTGGGCTTCGTACGGTACAGTACCGTACGAGCTGGAATAATTGAACCTCGCGCTAAGAGGTTAAAATAAGGTGAGGCGTCCGGAAAGTAGCGGTTTGATCAGAGATGACTGATTTTGGCTTGGAGACAGGGTCCGAGGGTTATGATTCCCAACCTCACCTCTTCTTCTCTGTGAGTCAGGCTTGTGGTGATTGAACGTGTTCTATTGTAAATAAAAGATCTATAAAGAAGAATTTATTAGTAACAAATAAAACAATTGCTTCAATTCACTTTCATTATACTCTGTTGCGGAGGCAACCTGCATAGACTCAGAGTTGCCTACATCAACCAAGATTCGTTTCTGCAGACGGAGATTGTCTAGAAAGGCTCAAAATATGCTCAATTCGTTTATGACTACTATGAGTGAGGTGAAGTAGATAAAGTAGAATAGAATCATAAGAACAATATTATATCATTAAGGTCTCTTCTCCGTTGCTTGATGATGTCTAAAAGTTTAAAAGGTACTTCAATATTTATATTCTGCATCAGAGTGTTCGCTGACTACATCTATCTATTATACAAACTATATACCTCTCTGATTATAACTCACAATGTTGGGTATTCTTCAAAGATGCAAATACTTGGAGACCCTGAAAACTATCACATCCTCTTCAGTAATTACTATTTTTGCTTATTCAGAATTATGCTATTCTCAATAGTAATTATTTGATCTTCAGAGTTATTAGACTTGTGGCCTAGTTCTCAAGTTGAACTGAGTTGGCCCCAATTACCTCCCTTATTGATAAAATAATCAGTTTTATTGGTAGGTTGTATCTGCAGAGGTAGTTGTAAATTTGTTAGAAATACTAGGATCCGAGACCTAGGAACCACCCTAAGTAGGATAACCCCACTTGGAATCGGAATCTCTGGTCTTCAACACTCCCCTCTGGCCTCCTTATAGGACCCCTATATTATCATACATATTTATATCAGTTGTGTCTTGTGACTATAAGGCCTCAGAATTAAGATGTAAGAATAATACCACATAAGTTGCTGCCATCTGTCTAAGCAGATTGTCACGAATGTGGCTTGGCGAGGAAAAGGTTTTCGCATGACACATGGTTATGAGTCACAGGCATATTATTGTTTCACACAGATGACTCATTTGAGTCATCTGATTTGTTATGTGTGGGATTTGTAATCTTTCGCACATGGCTCAAATATGAGTTATGGGACATGCGCCGGACGAGTATGCCTTGCGAGTGTACCTTGCGGGTATGCCTTACACATATGATTTATGTTTTGCACATGACCTTGTTATGAGGTCATGGGTTTCATGCATATGACTCAGTCGAGTCATATGACTTGTTTATTGCATTATGATTGGTTTATGAGTTTTTGCATATGACCTCGCTATAAGGTCATGGGTTTTGAGCATGTGACTACTTTGGTCACATGACTAGTTTGTTATGATTTGGTTTTACACATGTGACTATTTTGGGTCACATGACTATCAGCGGGAAGAACACTATATAAGGAGGCCGATATGGCTAAGGAGAATAGGTTCTTCATGCTTTGTTCTAAGTACTTTTCCTACTTATTACTTTAATGAATATAAAATACCTTTACGATCTTTATCTTTATTGCAACATTATCATTACGCCAAGGAGAGCTCTTCATGAAGAATAGTTAGAGAAAGCTTACGATAGACATTCCCGATAGAAGACAAGGGTCTTGTACTATCGGTAACATAGGCAGAGGCCTAGTGCTATCGTAAGACTAAAGAAAGAAACAGAAGAAGAGAAGTATCGTTCCCCATCGCCAAGAACTAACTATCCAAGGAGGCATCGTTACACAGATCCTGTTCGCAGAATCTATTGGAGGCGACCTTTAGCTAAGTCTGAGAAGTGGAACAGAGTAAATCTGTCAATGACTTAGAGAATTACTAGGCTTCAAATATGAGACATCTTTTGCAAGGATCATAGGTAACAGGACATTTTTGTACCAAGAAATGATATCAAATGTTAAAGGATCTCTATGAGAGACCAATACATTTGCACTCATCCTATGATAACTAGAAGAGTCTAGAACTCCGAGAAACACTACCATGGAAGCTAATGAACTTTATAGAGTGTTATAACAGGGCCCAGAAATGTATTGTGATTGTAGGAATAATTCCCAATACTGGAACAACAACTGAAACCCTGTTACCCAGAGCAACTAAGAGTTACTGACCAAGGGAATATCTGCCAATCTGGTAGAATAGCTTCTTGTAAATTAGTTGGAAGTTATCTAGAAGATATTTATGAGTTGGATCTGGAGTTATAGAGGTTAAAAGTCAGGTAATCTAGGAAGGTTAAAATTGTGACTACTTCTACAGATACAACCTGTAGATAAAACTGATCATTTTATCGATAAAGAAGGCAATTGGGGCCAACTCAGTTTGATTGAGAACTAGACCATAAGTCTAATGACTCTGAGGATTAATTACTATTCAGAACAGTATAGTTCCTAGTAAGCTATATCATAATTACCAAAGAGGATATGGTGATTTTCAGGCTCTCTAGGTGTTCACACCTTTGAAGAATATCCGACGTTAAGAATTATAATCAGTGAGGTACATATTTTGTATAATCGATAGATGTAGTCTACAAATACTCAGACACAGAATATAAATATTGAAGTACCTTGCAAGCTTTTAGATATTATCAAGCAACAGACAAGAGACTATAATAATATAATATTGTTCTTATGATCTTATTCTACTTTACCTACTTCACCTTACTCTTAGTAGTCATAAACAAAATAAGTATATGTAAATCATATTTTGTGTCTTTCTAGACAATCTCTGTCTACAGAAATAAATCTTGGTTGGCCCAGACAACTCTGAGTCTTTACAGATTGTCTCTGCCTAACAAAATTCAACCTTTCACGGTTACCGACTTTAAACCTTCATAACTCCTAATCTGACTGACAGATATCTTCTGGATGACTTCCTATTAATTCGTAGGTAGCCAATCTACCGGATTGGCAGATAATTTGTCGGTCAGTAACTCTTAGTTGCTTTGTGTAATAGGGTTTCAGTCTCTGTTTTAGTATTGAGAATCACATCTGCAACCACAATGCATTCCTGGGCCCAGTTGTAATACTTGTAACGTATTCACAAGGTGCTAATCACGTTATCGGTAATAGATATGATAGTTGGCAGGTAGCCTGCTGTTCCAGAGAGGAGGTGAGAGCTGAGAACTAAAGGAGGCTTTGAGGATATACTAAGGAACAAAGAAGTAACCGTTCAACCAAGTATATTGAAATACTGTCTGTCAAAGTCTGCCTTTTCTATCGTAGAAACAGGCGGTCTTTAAATACACAAACGTGTTAATGTCTAGCATGAACGAAACTAATCAAAGGTATCAATCAATACACTTTGGTAAAACTAATTAAGTATCAAAGTGATACTTAAAACAAAACATAAAACAAAACCAAGTATCAAATAATACTTAAAACAAACTAAGTATCAAAGCAATACTTAAAACAAAACATAAAATAAAACCAATAACCGAGTACCTGTACCAGTTACAATACTCCATGAAGTCTACTGGCTTGATATGGTAGCGTTTCTCAGAGTTCTAGATACTTCTAGTTATTGTAGGGTGAGTGTGAATATATTGGCTTCTCGTAGAGATTCTTTAACATTCGATTGCATATCTTTGTACGAAAATGGCCTTTTACTTACAGCTCTTGTCAAAGATGTTACATCTTTGAAGCCTAGTAACTTCCCAAGTAGTTGACAGATATGCTCTGTTCCACTTCCCAGACTTTTCTGCAGGTCCCCTCCCATATATACCACAAACAGGATTCAGTTAGATAGATGGCCACAATATATATGTTGTTATTCTTACACCTTATATTCTGTAATATTATAGTCACAGGATATAACTGAATGTAATATTTCTAAGCTCTAGTTAATATATAGTAATGGGTAACGATATCCTTCTTGATATATATCCTCTTATATATATATATATCTTCTTATATATATATATATCTTTGTTATCTCCAATAGTATTTAAGCCTATTGGCTTACATTACAAATACCTATATGTGTAATGCCTATCATAGACTAGTCTAGGTTTTAGCCTATAGACTTGTGAGGAATGTGAAGCAATAAAGAGCCTGTTAGGAATACCAGAATCCAATACCTACGAATCACTTTAAGTAGGATAACCCCACTCGAAATCAGAATCCCTAGTATCCAACACCCTTCTTTGGCCCCCTTATAGGTCTCGTACATCATCATATATATCAATCTTCGTTGTGTCTTGTGACTATAATATCACACAATTGAAGGTATCTGAATGACACTGTATACATCGCCACCATCCTTCTGACCGGATCCTGTTCCCAGAATATATAAGAAGAAACCTTCTGCTAGGTCTGAGAAGTAAAACAGAATAAATCCGTCAATTACTCAGAGAGTTACTAGACTACAAAGATGTAATATCTTTGGCATGGGTCATAGGTAACGGGAGGTTTAGTATGAAAATATATAATAAGATAGTATCGAATGGTAAAGGATTTCAATAAGAGACCAATACATTTATATTCATCCTACAATAACCAGAAGAGTCTAGAACTCTGAGAGATACTACTATAGAAGTGAATAGACTTCATGGAGTATTGTAACTAGGTTTTGGAACATATTGTAGCTGCAGGGATGACTCCCAATACTATAACAGCAACTGGAATCCAGTTACCTAGAGCAACTAAGAGTTACCGACTGAGGGAATATTTGTCAATCCGATGGAATAGGTTTCTGCGAATTAGTAGGAAGTTCTTCAGAACATATCTATCAGTTAGGAAAGAAGTTAGGAAGGTTTGAAGTCAGGCGACTTAAAAAGATTGTGATTATGACTACCTTCGCAGATGCAACCCGCAGATAGAACTGATTATTTCATCAATGATGAAGACAATTGGAGCCAACTCAGTTTGACTTAAGAACTAAGCTATAAGTCTAAAGACTCTAATCATTGGATAACTACTATTGGGAATAGTATAGTTTCTAGTTAGTTATATCATAATTGCCAAAGAGAGTGTGGTGATTTTCAGGATCTCCAGGTGTTCGTACCTTATAAGAATACCTGACGTTATGAGTTATAATCATAGAGGTACAAAGTTGTATAGTAAGTAGATGTAGTCTGGGAACACTGAGACAGGATATATAAATATTGAAGTGTCTCCCAAGCTTTAGACATCATCAAGCAATAGAGAAGTGATCTTAATAATATAATATTGGCTTTACGATTCAATTCTACTTTATCTATTTTTACTTCATTCTTAGTAGTCATAAACAAAACGAGTGAAGTCTGAGCTTTCTTAGACAATCTCCATCTACAGAAACAAATTTTGGTTAGCTTAGACAACTCTGAAGTTTATCAGATTGTCTCTGCCTAATAGTGTATAAAGATATTTTATTCATAAAAGAAATAAGCAAGGAAATTTCTTGGAATAAAGTGTAAAGAGTTTATCCTCCCCAGTCGTACCGACTTTCTTACATAGTATTCTTCTGCCAACCCTAACTCTGATGACTTATAATTGAGTCTTGTATGAAACATAACAATTCAAAATATAAACAAGTCATATGACTCAAATGAGTCAAATGTGTGAAATCCCATGACTCATAACATAAACAGGTCATATGACTCAAGTGAGTCATGTGCGAAATCTCCTCATATTCGTGATACTGAGATAGATACATATAATGAAGTACGGGCCCTGTACTGGGGCTGGAGGGAGAGTGTTGGAGACCAGAAATTCCAATCCCAAGTAGAGTTATCCTACTTAAGGTGGTTTCTAGATATTAGATTCCGGTACTTCTAACATTTTCTCAATACCTATATTAAATGATTAAGATGCCACTAAAGCCAGCCAGAAGAACAAAAGTGAATTCCATCCTTGAAATATTGCAGGCAAGTGGATTTTATGCTGGTGTTTGGAAAAAGCCAGGTCTGAAAAGGTACCTACTCTCAGAAAGGCTTTATGCACTACTAAAGCTAGTCGAAAACCCCTACTAGTCATACTTAGTTAGTTACAATCTTTATATATTATCCTATTGGTAAACACCATTCATACCACTCAGCCCAAGTATCAAATTCAAGCCAATTCACACCAACGTTACCAATCAGTTTAGGCAGTCAGAGGGGAATCTTTTACAGCGAAAATGGGAGGAGTTAGAAGGAAAGTTTCGAGACAAGAGTAAATTGTAATGTTGGAAAGAGAGGGGAGGAAGCAAGAGAAAAGAAAAGATTATGAAATGTGACCTATATAACAGGTTCTGGGTACTGAAAGTAAGAACAGAAATTATTTATTGTGGCTGGTTTAGGAGGATTAGTAAGGAGCTTTACTAAAAGCATTATCCAATAGACTTACCTATCGGATTCTAATTTTCAAAAAGATTGGTTCTGTGGTTTCCTTCAGTGGCATCGAATATTTCTCCAATTTGTAACTAATGCAAGTTAGCTGCCTTTGGATTTCGGTAGTGTAATTCTTAGCTGGATGCACTTTAATAGGTGTAACTCACAGCTTCACCATAACCAGCAAGATAGTTTTGTGGACTCACCTGCTACTATTGGTCATTACCATCTATCCAATATTAGCAACATGGACTAAACTCCTCTCCTGTTTGAGTATTTTGAAAAAAGAACTTACAATCAAATTGGTAATAAAACTATTTGAGTTCAGAGTAGTTAGTTAGGATGGGATAAGAGGCAGGGGACTATTCAACTCACTGTTTTTATTGATGGAGTTTCTTGCGTCAAACCATTACTTTTTTTCTGTAGTCAAGAGATTAGGAGTGGCATTATAAGAGAATAGAGTGAGTATGACCTGCTGGTCATAGTTAAATTCAATCTGAAGGCCAATGCCAATATGGAGAACTTCTTCTAGTAGCTGGAGGAACAGTTTATTCTATTCCTAGATCGAAGGCCAATACTGCTAGTATTTGACCTTTTTGCTACCCACAAAACACTAGAGGTACTCGATATATTCCTTGTAAATGACATCACTGTCAGTATGGTACTTGGAGGCGGTACCTCATTGGTACAGCCACTCAAGATTAGTATAAACCGTCCATTTAAAGATATCTTAAAGGTAGGAGAAATTACTTGCCTCTTCCAATTGAAACAGAATTGAAAAAGAAAAAAAAAAAAAATATCCCTACACCTCCTACCCTACCTACCCTCTCATGGAAGAACTGGAATAATTAGACCTTATACTACGACATTGGGATTCCCTCGCTTGGGTAGTGGGCCTGGAGTAAGCATGCACCGAAAACTGTATGTCTCAGGCTCTAGCTTAGAACTAGCTTAGAACTATCAAAGCAACCAAAGTGGAACCTTTCCAGCAGAGGTGACTCTGATCTCGTAGTATGAGGTTCAATTATTCTGGTTCTTACCATATTCAGGTATGGTAATTCCTAATTTTGGTTTATGTTATTAGGAAGTCTTAGAAGAAAAGGTAGACAAGGTAGAGAGAGAAGAAGAAAGGATGCTTGAATCAGGAGGAGAACTAGTGGGCAGCATGATTGGAAGGAGAAGGATCCTTACCACCTGGGCAGTTGGAGAGGCTTGGGATATTTTCTCACAAGAGCAAGTAGAGGTAATTCGGAAAGCCTTTCAAGTACTCGGATTAGCACTTCTTATCAATGGAACTGAGGACTCGGAAATTTCAGTCAAAGAGATAAAAATGACTTACCTTAAGGAAGGATTAAAGAATTAGAGAGAGGGAGGAACTGTAGAGAGAGACGAAGAGGAGGAAGATTCTGTTGAGTTAGTCAAAGGTGAAGATGATTAAGATGTATTCTATGTGGAAGAAAATTAGTCTGTGCTGAAATTGATATTTCATAAATCCACTTGTGTCACCTTGGCAAGAAATATCTTAATTGGACCGCTTAGCGCCAGGTTCAATTATTCCAGTTCTTACGGTACTCTACTGGTAAGGTAACGTATCATATGTAGGGAGTATCGCAGAGAATCATTCGGAAAATACAGGAAATCAATATTTCAAGTCCCGGGCGAGCATAACGTCGATGCAAAGCTTGAAACCTTGGCTGGTCAAGAATCCATTAGGCGAAGAAGGCTAATCCAGTATGCGTGAGATAAAACGCTACAGGCCAAAGCACCTACGCCTTCAAAGCCGCCTCCACAACCTCGGAGATAACAAGCACCTTCTCTTCCTGCAACCTCCTACCTACAATCTGAATACCAATTGGTGCACCATGATAAACCTCGGGATCATCTGAGGCAGTCGAATCAGCTCAGCAACCCCCCTCATTGGGAACAAGAAACTGACAACTCTCATACACGAACTTATCAAGTGCATCCACAGGCTCGTACCCCACTGCTTTCCTATCAATACTCTTATCTACCTTAACCCCAACCGGCACCACGGAAGCAGTATAATCTAAAAGGTTAACGAATCCGCTATACCCTAGATAGCAGAATTTCTCCGGGGGATAGCTGGCGCTGGGAGCCCATGGAAGGATCAACGCGTCGACTGGCCTACCGGTCTTTGTCAGGGAGGCTGTGGAGTTCCAGTACGTCTGGTAGGCATCTTGGAATGTGAGTTTGCGGACATGCAGGTCCCAGAGCTCTGTCATTGACTTTTCGTGTAGGCTTCCTAAGGTGGTACTGAAAGAGGCGGCAATTTGTGGCAAGACCTGTTCGCCAGAGAGAGCATGGTTGCGACGAGTGTGTGCGCCACCGTCGGCAGAGAGAGCTTCCAACTGTTTTGCGGAGGAGGATAATGGTTGGTTTGGTTTTGGGGAGGGAGTGGGGGAGTGGGGGCTTACTAGCATGCTGTTTGCGATTTTGTGCGAGGGGGGTGTCCATTCGATTACCTGGTTTCGGGATTTATCAGGGGTGATATTTGGTGATTTCCAGGAATGATGGGGGGGAGCATACCTCGTGTCCCTGGGAACGAAGCTTTGCCGCGGCGATATCGAGTGCTCGGAGGATGGGTGGATGGGGAGTGATCTCTCCGTTGTGTTTCATGACTGCAAAGGATAGTCCCCTCTTTGCGTGCTCACGTGTCTCGTCTTCTTCCAAAGGTCTCCATTTCAACTCGATTACTCCGGGATCATGTTTCCAGGGTTCTGCTTCCAGAATTGTTTGAACGAAGAGTCGAGCATCTGCGATTGAGTTGGTCATTGGACCCACTACCCCGCCGACTGTCTCTTGTCCGTTCGGCTGCGGCCGTTGATGAGCTGGGGGGAAAACATGTAAAAAGAGTCTCAGGGAGATACTCACGCTTTGGGCGATGTTTTTATAGGGAAGCCTGCCACAGGAAGGCTTCAAGCCGAATATGCCAGTTGCTCCTGCCGGGATGCGTATTGAACCAGCTAATACGGTTAGAGCGCAAGTTGGCTCGGGGGGTTTGCTTCGAGTGACAAACCAAGATCACTTCCAACGCCCATTGGACTCCCCCGAATCGCAATCAATGCACCTTCTCCTGTAATTGTGTTAGTGCTAAGATCCAAAAAGAGAGCGAATGTGATAGTTTCATACCCCCCGACGAGCCGCCGGAAGACAAAAGCCTGTTTTTCGGATTCCAAGTATACCCCACGATATTGTTCACAGTCTCCCCACTCTAGAACGAAGTTAGCATCCACCCACCAACACTTACTATTCAAATGAGCTAATATCCCACCATCAACCCACTCGGCACACTAGTCTTGACGTAAAACACAGCACCAGCATTCCTCAGTATCTTGGTTACCAGCGCCTCGCTCTCAGAAGTATCATTCTTCCCTATCCACCCAACATACCCAATGGTAGTCTGCTCGCCCTCAATCCTCACACTATCCTTCAACGATACGGGCAAGCCATGAAGCGGCCCCGAGATCTTTTTGTACTCGTGGAAGTAGTCATCCAGCTCCTGTGCTCTTTTGAACGCTTTGTCGAAGAATATCTCCATGAGGCAGTTTGTCTGTCGGGCGGGGTTGGGTGAATACGTTGCGTATTAGAACGCTTTATGAGGGGGTATTTACCAATTGGTGGGCAATAGTGGCACGATGACAGAAAGCCTTGGTGACCTCGAGAGAAGAGTACTTTCCATAGGCTAGCTTGCCCACCAGCTCATGTGCCGTGCTCTCGGTGATTGCTATCTCTGCCGGGGTCAAGAATTGGCTGGCGTACCCCGTGACATCGCGAATTTCAGCGGGGGGGAGGGGGATTAGCCATTCCCGCGGAATCTTCGCCTTCGTTTCTGCATTTTTGGCTTCGGCGATTGATTTCCAGTTTTTGGTCATGGCTGTGATGGTAGCTTTTGTCGGATATACCTATCTTTAGGATTGGGGGGTACGTGTCGAGCGCTTTGGGGATGGATATATATGTTTTGTTGTTATGGAGATGTAGGCCTATATTCAACATTCAACTTTTTGTAAATGCCTGGATGGCTGCAGGTATCGCTAGTGCGCGTGCACCATTGCTAACTGACTCAGTTGCGCATTCTTCGGGTGTTTGTGAGGTTTGCTGCAGGGTGTTTTCGTCCCGGACGTCAGGTGGGCTTGTGCTTGGAATGCAGGTAGCTTGGCTGGCACCTGAACTCTCGAGCGTGCCGAAGTTCTCTTCCCGTAATAATTAGAGTTACTGCGAGCGGTTAAAAAGGAAACAACTAACTTGTCCGGCGTGGGTTATATAAGTTTCTAGTGTTATGAATAGTCGCGAGGTGGGTTTAATACACTACCGCATCGTATACCACTATTCTAGGCTTGTCATATCGAGAAGTGTGGAAGAACTGGGACTAAAGCCCATGCTAATTGGCTACTTTGAACGTTAAAGAGTAGTCCGTCATTGAAGAATGATGGAGGTCTTACCTTACAGTATCATACCCTCGCCCCGTCTCCAAGAAACTTCCCTGCCGTCCATTCGTTCACAACCACCTCCCTCACCAACACCCCAGAAATGCAACCTGTTTGTCACTCCGATTTGTAACACAAGTGACCCCAAGATTGCTCATCTACTTTCTTAGGCAGGCAGAGTGGAGCAGTCGACAGCGGATGTCACACCTTCATTGGAATCATAGATGCTATCTCGGGCACCATTTCTGGAGCATCTTGCCGATTATCGTAGTGCGGCTCCTGCGGAAGCGTCCTGGGGAGGTGGCGCGGCCTCGAGAGGAGCGGCCAAAAGGATGTGCGAGGCCGAGACCGGGGCCATCTGAAGGGAGTACTAGCATGTCTGCCAAAGTGATGCTTAGTACTTTAACAACAAGGGAATGTAGAGGATTACCCATGCACAGTACTTGTCGAACTTGTGGATGGCCACACTATCAATTACTACCAGAGGATGTGGTCGCAATATGAGGCGTGGAGTGGGTCTCCATCATGGATTTGAGCCCGATGGTTTGTACTGTATCCTGAGAAGAACAACGCCCCCCTCAACACCTTAAACAAGAGGTCTCCCATAGTACCAGTACTACTACTAGTAGCATTGGTTCCCGCGACAAAAGCAGAGAGGTCTATGCAGTGCTTCGTCACTGGTAGGGGCAAGAGATTGCAGGGGGAGGAAAGAGTGGCCAAAACGGATAGACATCTGATTTGTTTCCAGCTGAGAGATTATGGGGGGGGTAACTGGTGTATCAAGTATGGATACGGGAGACGTGATATTAGTAGTGGTGGACGAAAAGGAAGCAAACACAGTAATAAACACAGCAACCACTCCATTGTGATTAGGCCAAAGCAAAACTCTGTTAATCTAAAGTATCGTCCCAAGACGAGTAGACTCAAGAGATCCCTCTTGGATGCACCACAAGTAGCCCAAAGTCATCGGGTGAGCGGTGCCACTTCTGCAATACGACAACAGTGCTTCCGGAGACGCCGCGGCAAAAACGTGCGGCAACCCCAATCTAAAAAAAGTTCCAAGCTTCTCGCGGATGAAAACGCTAGCAGCGATAATAGTTGCGGGAAGCTTTTGCCGCGATATCACTGACATCCTTGCTTGGGCACGAGCAGGCGCTGCGTTTGTTGGTATCAACAGAATCCCACTATTTCAAAACGCTCCTAGCCATAGATCGAACTGGGTGAGCTCACTTGGGAGCACAGAATCCGTTCCGGGCCGGGTAGGGGAACCACTGCGGCGAACTTCTGACACCGTATTTGCGTTTTCTTGGGGGAGCCCAGAGGGTCCGGAATTGTGCTGGGGAAAAAGACTCATAGTTCCACACTCACCTTTAAGTATGATAATATTATAGTGATTTGAGCACGGCGCAGGGTTTTTCTCATCACGAAGTATCACCCCCTTGCTTCCCCTTCCACGCTATTTACTGGTGCAAGTCGGTTCTCAGAGCTGAAGCGCTTCTGACACCCGACTTGAAGGTCGGACGTAATTCTCTGGACAGGATTGTTATAAAAGTCGTTTATTTGGCGTCATTGTGCCCGTCGATCACTTGCTTATCTGTCTGGAGGGTGCTAAATGACCTTTAGCCGTGCATCTGTGACCCGCAACATCCTCCAAATACTGCCTTTCTCTATCCCTATCACTTATATTCCAGCTGTGGTTATCATACTGCTTTTCACACGAAGGGGGCTTTTCATTCACTGTCGGTGATTAGTGTTTACAATTCCCATTCGCTCAAGGATGTACCCGTTTACTTCCACGGTGCCCCGAGCGTTTGATAAATAAATGCCGTGGTATCACTATCCTTATCACACCCCCAGCGGAAAGGTCCCAAAGACAGCAGGACAAGTATTTGTTCCTGTAGTATGATGATACGATGTGAAAATACCTGTCTAGCATAGTAAAGATGCCCAGAAATAATTAATTCCCTGTGCAATCAGCAGGAGCCCAGACGTTCGGTTCCTCTCGAAATGAGCTACTATCATACTAGACGATCCGTCATGTATCATAGGATAGGAGATTCAAGAAATCCAGCCACACAGGAACTGGGGGACTGAAGAAGACCCTAACCTTCACCCATAAGGCTGTAGCAAAAATCAGACCTGCTATCATACGAGGTGGTATGATAGAAACCGACTCTGGGCAGCGCTCCTAAGGCTGAGGTCCGCGATCGGCGGGGTGGCAGAAGGAAAAAAGAGAAAAATAAAACAAAAAAGGGTTGGTCTGCTTCTTTCGATTCGGAAAAAAAAAAAGAAGAGTGCCGCAGGCCCCGAATGCCATGCATATCCTCCAGCATCCAGATTGTGTAATTGCTCTGAGGGTGGTTATGATCATAATCTACAACCCAAACACCTACCCATCACAAAAGATCACTCGGTACCCTTCAACCCGCCACGGGGATGGTTTGTGGCCGAGGTATCATAAGTTAAGGTCGTAAGGACGTTTCAGTGATCGCTTGGCAGTTGCTATTGGCTGGTGGCGTGGGGGGCTTTGGCTGCGTCAGTGCGGTTTATTGCAAGTTTTAAGGATGACCTGGACTGCGTGGGCATGAAGGAGATGGTGATACTTGGTCTGGATATCGTTCTTTGGAGCAATTTCTTCACTTTTTTTTCTTGCTGTGACGTGAGAAGAATGGATATATTACCCTTCCCCATAGAAGGTAACATCTACACGCACAAGTCACTCCAATCAAAAGTGGTCACTCACACTATAGCTCTCTTTCTACTCTGGTTTCGTCCCCTTCTCCGCCCCCCAAACACCACCGATATCCACCCCAGAAGCCTCCATCTTCCCCACAATCCCTCTCGCGGCCTCAATAACCGGCCTATCGACCATCCGCCCGTCAAGCCCCCAACTCCCCCTCCCCTCCGCCTCCGCAACCTTTTCGGCGACCAACACCTTGACGGCTGCCCGCACCTGCTCCTCTCCGGGCAGGAACAACCTCTGCACGACATCCACCTGCGAAGGATGTACGACCTGTTTCCCGTTAAACCCCATCCCTACCCCGTCCAGACATTCCCGCTCGAGAGTCGCGACGTCCCGGTAGGACGTGCAGACCAGGTCTATCGCGGATGGGATGCCGTATGCCCGCACCGCCATGACAATCGTCTGTCTGGCGAGGAGGAATTCGGTTAGCGAGGGGGTGCGTGTTATGGAGAGGTCCTTTGCAAAGTCCTCCGCCGCAAACATTAGACCCGAGAGGCGGGGGGTTGAGCTAGTTATTTGGCGAATATCAATTATTGAGCGGGCGGATTCTAGGAGGGCTTTTGAGAGCGTTAATGGATATAGGGTTAGGGGGCGGGCGGGGGGATGGACCGAGAATTCTTATGGATGATTTGTTGGGATGATTTGAGTGGTCTAGGACATCTGATACGAATGTCCTATCGAGCAGAGCGGTGGTTAACGGGTGACATGAGGACGTGTGGGGATGAGAGTGGGCAGGAACTGACAGGTCTCCCGCACTTTCCACTTTCGGTACGACAATCGTGTCCAAATTCTTTCCCTGCAACTGTTTCGTCTCTCACAATTAGTCACCACAATCCCTCGCCCTCCCCCAATCCCAGTCAAACTCAAAGGACATACCACAGCCCCCAGATCCTCCAATGCAAGCCCCGAATCAACAGCATTAATCCTAACGCAAACTTCCCTCACCCCTTCTGGCCTCGGCAGATTTAGAGCGTCCTTGATTATGTGCCTGGCGGCAGGCTTCTCGGCAGCAGTTACAGCATCTTCAAGGTCGTATGTCTGTTTGTGCAGAATGAAATGAAAGGGAAAAAGGTTTAATTGGTCGATTAGTTTTTGCGCTTTACGTTTCGGATAAAGGAAGAACGAGATTCCGTTCCTGCATGACCGAGATGCAGCCGAAGCGGTTGAGGCAATTGGGGGATTGGAGTAAACCGGGTATAAGAGACCCGATATGCTTCCAGGTCATGGGGGAGGATAGGGAACGAATGAAGGGATAGCACGACGCATGTGATTAACACGACTGAAGGCTACCGGTAGACCAACCACAACCTGGAAAACAAAAGGCCTAACGTATCGCCCGTACACGAGCAGATTGAGGCACGGGACACAGCGGATGCCAAAATCATTCAGTGAGAGAAAAGTGAAAAAAGAAAAGCACAGCTTATCAAAAGCAAACATTATTATAAATAACCTGTGAGATATGGACAGCAATGGAATAAGCAACCCACGACACAATCAACGTTCAACCCTCTCGCCTTTTCCATCATACGTTTACTCGATCCGGGCACTTTTTGTGTCGGGAACCATACATGCATCATTATCAGTCGATACTCCCAATGCCGGGCATTTCGCGAGTGGGAGTCGAATTACCATAGAGCAATGCCCGACGTAGGATTGGGGCTGAGACCATTTGTGGGGTTGGCTAGTTGGGTTCTTCCTCTTATGATATGAGGGGGATTGATCCGATACGAAGTACTTGTAGCTCGGATGGGGGAAGGATTTGGATAGTTTGCGGGATGGGGATGGTAGTAGTTGGCGTGCGGTAATGCTGTGCTGTAGATGTTGGTGGATGGTTGCTTCTTGGCGGGGCGGTATCACAGTCGGATGGGTATTGATAGTGGTGCACCGGTACTGTACTCGAGTATGATAAAGTACAAGTACAGCGCAGTACCCGAGTACTCGAGTAGAGCGGCCTGTGACCTTCGGATACTTTTATGGAGTACAAGTAGGAGCACGGCAGTTGGTGGTCTATGTCCGAGGACTGGCCAACGTGTTGAGCCGGATGGACCACGGATACCGCGCATTGCCCCATTCTGCGAGGGAGAGTCGAGGTTTCAAATTGTTAATTTGGTTGCAGTTGCAGGATCCATTATCAGCAATTCAATCCCCACAGCCCGATCCCCCAAAGTTACTCGAGTACCGGTATCGGTACTGTGCACGGGTACTTGTACTCGAGCACTGCAAGATAGAGAATCTAAATAAGGGCTTCGCGCTAGGTGCAGACCGACGGCCTTGATGATGTGCTAATAATAGGGATAAGGCGTGTGGAAAGGGAAGAGCGGAAGAGATACCGTATCTTACTCGAGTATTAGGCTGGTCTTTCGAAGATTCACTGTTCCACACAAGGATGAGTGTGCCGGTAGAATTGTTCCATGGTGGGGGGGGATTACATTTCAAGGGAAAAGACTATCAGTACCGGCACATACTCGATTCGGGAGGGCCATCATCGACGACACCGTTACAAGTACCAGTACTGAGTATTCGTACTAGTACAGTATGAAGGGGAGAGTAAAACGATAAGGGATGGGTTCGGTGGACCGGTGCTAGGTGGTGGAAGCTTTCCGCCTTTACCGCACACCTCCACCTCTATCCGGCGATCACACAGAAACAAGTGAAAGCGATCAAACAACCACTGACCAACCCACAGCCCACAAGGTTGGATGTAACGACCCCCCTGAAACGGGTTTGGTTGGACCGTGATCGGCGCAGTGGTGCAACCTGTTGGTTTCCTCCAGCTTTCCCCGGGTGGTGATGAAGGGTGTCTCTAGAATTCCCATCACCGGTCCCAATTTGAAACTTCCGCTCCCAAAGATACATTCCCCGTCACCAATCGTGAAGGGACGCCACACCGAAAATCACACACACAAGCCGCAGACCCCAGGTACAGTACTGTACATCCACACAGCAGGAAAACGGGGGGGGGATGGAAAATACTCGTACAGTGGGTGGTGGGTTTTTACAGCATCTACTCTCGTACTGTAAGAGTACTCGTACTGTATTTTATCTAGCCCTCTTTTTTCTTTTTTCAGAAAAAAAAAAACGCCGGCGTGGCGCCCGCAGCCTGGCCGTGCGTGCATGGTGTTGGGTGGATGACGCTGCCGGTTGCTACGAGAACTGTGGACTACAACTGTACGAGTACTCGTATGGATAGAAGGATAGGCGTAGCAATCGACAAACTCGGCATTGGATGGCTGATGGCGAGAGATGCACGGGGTGCTATTATCCCGGAAAGTGAGATTTATTGCGCCCGATCACCACGACAGTGCAATTTGATACTGCACGAGGAGGCGAGTTCGGTACGCGATGCAAGTGCTCATATAAATATGATATCATACTATATTATTCTGCAGTTTTTCGGGCTAAGAATAATAATTGCAAGTATTAAGAGGGTCGCGGGTAAAGAGACCGAGTGCGAGCTGCTGGATGGAGCTCGGAGGGTCGACAAGGATAGTTTCAGAGGTCGTTTGACAAGGGATGTGCAGCATTGCAGCGTTTGGCGTGTGGCTCCGGGCTCCGGACTCTCTCTGCTCTCTGTTTGGGGCTTGGGGGCCGTTTCGATCCTTCAGAGTCTTACCGGCGCTGTAGCTTTGTGCCGCCTCATTCGGAAGACTTACGCAAGCTTCCAGAGGGTTTGAGGGAGAAAAAGGGAAGGTGAAGAGAAGAGGAGTGGTGAGGGTGAGGGCGAGAGATGGATAGGATACCGGTAGTCTAGATGGTCACGGCCCACCACCGTGTGTAGAAATCGGTAGGATAACCCACCCTACTTGTTTGCATCACACATCACACACAAGTGAAGCTGGCGCTTCCTTCATGTTTATTCAATTCGCCCACCCTTTGTTTCCCCTCCCAATTGTATATTTGCAGCGTACGATACCTTAAACTCTGTAACCTTTGCTCACCCCACCCCACCTCTACATATTCCCCCCCGTCTTCCCTTCCCTCCGTCACGCATTTTGTCACTTTCTTCCAATCTTTCTCCATTCCTCCAATAGTCACCCCCCCCCTTCCTTCGTTCCTCTCCCTTTTCGACCGCCGCTTCTTTGCTCACCTTCTCTCACCCGTGATTCTTGTCCCTCTTCTCTTTCTCGGACCAGCCCTCTCAGGCTCCCTTTTGACCTACCACCCAGCTCGCTTTGGACCACCGGTATCACTGATCTAGCCCACTTACGTATGCCTGCTGAATACATCATCAACGCTCCCCTTCTACGGCTCTGAAGTCGGCTTCCGCTCCTCCTTTCCCTAACCAAGGCGGGCCGCCACGCAAGTCGTTTCACGTCTCCGCCCATCCCTCTTGGTACCCTCCCCCCCCCCCCCCCGGCTCTTGGGTAGTTGGTGACCCACCCGCTTATATCGGGAATAAAGATTAAAAAATAATCGGGGTGTTTCGTCACGCCACCCCCCGGACAGGTGGTGGTTCGTATAAAGTGGGATGGCGCCCTCAAGCTGGAATTGTTTTTCCAACGGTGACATTAAACTTTCGAGCGAACAAAAGAGGAGAAGCAAGATGACAGCTTCCGTTGACCCTACAAGAGCCATAACAGAGGAGGAGCCTTGTTCGTTTCTTCCTTTTCTTTCCCCCTTCCGCCTTCCTGGAGGCTCAATTGGGAATGGAGGAATTTGCTGACATTCTTCAAGTCCAGGTCAATCAGTCAAAACAAACAAGTAACCTTCGTGCCACTCAATTTAAGGACCAGTATGGAAATCCCATAGGTGCGTATTCTCCCCAATTCCCCGCTAATATAGCTTATCGCCATTGTCTCACCTTGTGGTCGCGGCGCTGACGTTGTCTCGTCAAACAGCTGAACCGGATCTGAGCAACCCGACCAGAAACCGTTGGGAGCGACCGCTCGACACAATTCGTGCTTTCGAAGACGCGATTTACAAAGAGCATCGACGTGCGCCTTCCTATGGTGAGGAACCCCGTATCCGCCATTCTCCACGCTACAATGGGCACTGTGCTAACCTCTCTTGCTTAGGCGACCGAAGGAGCGGCCCTTCGTCAGAGACTGGGAATGCCGCGGATAATCAGCAGCGTGAGTTTGTGCTTCTCACCCCCTAGCTGGGTCCCCGACTAAAATTTTAGCCAGAGAATCACTACGATTTCCATACCCGAAGTAATACCAGTACTCCGCGAAACCCTCACTATGACGTGTACTCTGGTCGTTCTGCAACACCTCGGTCGGGAATGGATGGGTGTGTTGCGTATTCTTCCGAAAAATAATCTTCGGGCACTTTCTAATGAACATGCAGTTATGGAGAACCGGAAGCAGGCTATGGCCGTATGAATGCACGCTCACCCATTTACAACGGTAGAATGTCACCTCGCAACCACGGACACCATCAGGGTTACGGTTATCCCCAGGGTCCGGCGGGTCCACCACGTCCGGGTCACGATAGACGGCAGCATTACGATCCATATGCACATGGCCATCGTCCCAATATTGCCGAAGGGATTGGACACCCAGCGCACCGCAACGCGCCTAGTCCTGAGAGCTATCAGTCAAAACCGGCTTCAAATTCCTCCGGACCGGAGTCTGATATTTCGCACGGATCGGCAGGCGGTCCCCCCGCTCAGCCTCAACCTGTGGATAGCTATGGCTTTGCTAGTGGCCAGGGTTCTGGGCAGCCCGAGTTATTCGCAACTTCTACGCAACTCTATGAGCCTTTGTCACCCGGGGAAAATTGGAATGCACCGAAACCTAATGCACCACCAACGCCGCCAGCAGAGGCAGATCAGAAGGCTGTTCCCTCGCCGCCGCCGGCACAGCAACCGGAATCGAACGCCGTGGCCGAGAAGAGGAAGAGTTGGTTCAAGCGGAAAATGGGCAAGGGCTAGACTTGGTTCCTGCTTCTTTTCTCTTCCGGTGGGGAAGTTCGGGTTTGACTTGGTTTCCCGGATCAGGGTCAAGAACGTGTTTGATGTCCAAGTTCGAGTGTATGAGTGCAGCTGTATTATATTCACGTACTTTTCCTCTGCACCGTGCCCGCCTTCATTCTAATTTCTTTTGTTTCTGTTTGCTTTTTGGGCGCGAGGCAAGGGGATCTGATGACGCAGTGCTCACTCTCGCGGCGATCCCGGTGATGCCAATACCTTGGCCGTTCATAATCTGCCGGAATGTTTTCACATAGTGCGGTGCTATGAGTTACGAACGGGGGGGTTCCAAGGAGTCCCTTTTTTTTTCCTTTTCTCTTTCTTTGCTTTCCCTCTCTCTGGGGTGGGTGTGGGTTTAACGCGGGGGAGACCGGGAGAATTGGTAATGGGGGGGGGGGGTGGGCCTAGGAGTTATCTTTTTGTCTGTTTCCTGTTATAAACTGTTTAGGGTGGGATTCTTTTTTTCTTTTTTCCCTTTCACTTTGTGTATCTTCCACTCCCTTACTCTTTTTTGTCTGCAGGTACCTCACTTCTTGGATATAGCTTTCTTTTCCCTCCATATCTCACTTTCTTGGCCTTCTCTTTTTTCCTCTATAACCCTGATTTTATCTTTCGCGTTGGGTTGAAAAATGTTTGTGTAGTGGTAGACTGCAGTGCTCTACGTGCGGCAAGCTTAAAATTAATATGATTTGTCTGGATTGAGTATGTTTTGCATGTTAATATCGATGGGGGTATGTTGGGGATACTGTACTTTTATCTGTGCAAATTGTGTGCTGGGGTGGCTGCTATATCATAGTTATTCGTTCTACCTTGACAGCTTTACTACTGCGCTGGGAAAGCAGTTGTCCGATTTTAAGAAATGGTTTGAGCTACTACTATGATACTGTGCTCTTTGTTCTCGATGTATCATACTCGTGCGATGCCACCAAGTTATCACAGCACGTTTCCTGTATTTTAGCCCCATTGTAATCCAGGGTTAGGGTTGATTCCTAATCTCGCAGATAGCAACTTGAACTCCATCATACCTCACCCCCCTCCACCCACAACACAGCCTTTATTCACCGATCCATCTATCGAACAGCCATCATCGACAACAATCCCATCAACCAATCCAACCAAACTCGCGTTTCTCAAACAAGCAAAACAGAGATGGTAACTTGAAAACCCCGCCCCCTTTACCCCCCTCACCAAACAAAAGTTAAGGCTGACCCCACCAACCACCACCACTGACAGTCCCTTCGTTTCATCCCCCCCGCAACCTCAACTCCCGCAACCCTCCCTGCCCCCACGGCGTCCGCGCCCTCGGCCGCCTCCATCCCTGACACCCTCCGCGCCGGCGGCCCCACCTCCCTCGCTTCGACCCTGAACTCCAGACACCCGCTCGAGGCACGCCTAGCGCAGTGGGATGAGACACAGGAGAAGCTTAAGATGGAGAACCTTCGCCGCATGTTTGGCGTGCAGGAGGTTATCCGCCGCGGGATGGAGATAAAGATTGCCGGGTCGGATTGGAGGCCGGCGCAGTTGGGAGGTCCGTCGAACTTTCACTTGGATATTTTGAGGGGCGTGGATGAGAGGATTGAGTGGGAGGATGTGTTTAAAGGTTTGTGTTTTCGAAGGTAGGGTGATAAAGGAGCTAATTTTTGTAGGGAATGATAATACTTTTGAGATGCCGGACTTCCATGTCGAGATGGAGAGGAAGCTTAGAATGAATTGGTAGATTTTGGGAAGGGGCTTGCTACTGTTTCATGTCACGAGATGGGGAGAAAGGGGAGAGGTGGGGGTAGATGAGATACCGTTTGCTATGGATAAGAAAAAAAGGTCCTTTTAAACTTAATCCTGGTTGGGTCATTATTTGATAATGGAGATGCAAAAACCTGTTGTGAATTTGATGCGGTGCAGCTATCACTCGGTCGGTATGACAATGTCATGATATATATTGCGCCACTATCAGATATCCTACCGCCGTGACACGAACGGCTATGCACAGCCGACCGGCCAGCAAGTCGCTACCGCGGGACCTCTCGAAGCTACCCGGACCGGTAAACCCCTGCGGGAGAGAAACATTTACTATCCATCCTGTATAACCACTGAGGAGGTGCGGAGCCTGAGCGTTACATACACCTCCCACCTCCCACCGCCCTCCCTTCCATATTGATACCACTGCTAATACTACAGCGCCTATGGACAAACACCACACCCCCCAACCCGCAACACAAACTGGAACTACTCGCCTTATATCCCCACCACTTCACAAAATACGGCCTCTATCATTGCATACCGCTTTAGGACCGGTGGCACTAATCGTAAAGAAAGCTTGATACCCTGGAGATATGAAGGAGGGTTAAGCACACGTGGTACAGTACCGATGTGCAGTATCAACCTGATTATCCAAAAGACATAACCTCGGCTGGTTCGTACCGTCCTATGGTGCAGATCATCGAACAGGTGGTGGGTGGGGGCATGATATGTGATGTTTTTGGTGGGATTGTGTGGTAGTAAGGGAGGGGGTTAATGCCGTTGTGGGTGGTGGTACCATATGAGTCAAAGGCTGGTCTGTTGGTCTCGGGAGGGGAGGGTGGGCGTATGGACTATTGGGACTTGGGTGGTGCTTCAGTTGGACCGATTCTTTTTTATTTTTATTCTTCGTTCTTCCTTTCTTCGTCTTAACACATTTTTCTCCTTCGGGCATTTATCATAACTTGTGGAGTAGTGGCGGTTATGGCTGCGGTTGAATCATAGAGTGATGATGTGTGATCATGGTAAGTGAAAGACATCTCCACGTTTCTAGAATTATAAACCACCATGGCTGGACACACGTTTACGGATCGGATAGTGATCAAATTCCAAAGCAAATCAAAGCAGTAAAACGCCATAAAATTACACTCCTTTTTGTGCAACCTTTTAACTGAAGCCAATCCACCCGTCCATCCGCCCACCGCTGCCAAATGGGTTTGACCTCCGCAGAGGCCCGAGAGAACAAGAATTCACTGCCCTCCACTGAACCAAATTCACCTCCCCCCGGAGAAGAACATCCTAGTAGCCATATTCCCAGCAAACCTCCTAACCGCGCCACCGCCAGAGCTATTCAGTGCGGATCCAGCGAGGGAACTGGCGTTCCCAAACTTATCCGCCCTGGAAAATGCTACGCCGTTCGTGGCGCACAGGATAACGGCAATGACGACGAGGGAGAGCCAGATGAACTCGAACCGGACGATGGCGATGATGGCCAGAAACACCCACAGCAGCGGGACAACGTATATGGTGAGCCAGAAGAAGCGCGAGTCCGTCGCATTGATCTGGCGCGTCTCGTCGGCTGACTCGAAGACCCAGGTTTGCTCACCGGTCTCTGGGTTCGTCTCATTCCACCAGCGCAGGCCGACAAGGCGGCGGCCCGCGATATTCTTGCAGTAGTAGAAGTCGGCGGCTAGGAGGAGGATTACGATTATGAAGATTAGGATGCTGTGGGAGGGGATGGGTGTTAACTGAGTTTTTTTTGTGGAAGCGCTAGGTTAGGAAGGGGGTGGAGGGTACAAGTTTGAAGAGAACCAGAGACCGAAGAGGTATGTAAATATTGAAGCTGTTCAGGTAATTTATTGTTAGCTACGGATGCGCCAGAGTAGGATGAGGAGAGTAGCGATCAAACCTAGACGAAACGCAAGGAAGAATCCGAGCGTTAGCGGATGAGCCGAAAGTCGCCAACTGAGGGCGCCCTGTTGCTGCGATGGTTAGAATAGGGGCTATCTGGAGGGAGTAGTTTGGAACAAAGGCTTACAGAGTCCATGGTTTTTCTTTTCTTTTTCGAGATGCGGTTGGTGTATTGTAGCTGTTTGGAAAGGGATGATGGTTGTTGGAGGGGTGATTGACATCGATACCCTCTGATTTGTGACGCGGCCCAGTTGGTCGATGCCACCTTTGAATGATTTGAACCTCTGATGGAGGATGAGTCAGCTGATCTTAGGGGCTTGGCGAGAACCCTCGAGGAACCTTAGATGGGTAAGAGGTCAATGATTTCAGGGTAGGTTTTGCTTGGCGGAGGTGAGGTGCCCAGGTGTTGGCGTGCAAATATCATACCACGCTGGGAAGCGCCATCTGGTAGGAAAAGGATTGAAATTAGAATCCTGTCTTGACCTTTGGCCATGCAACAAACAGCTCTATGCGGCTAGGCTAGGGAATGATGGGAAGGTTATGAGCAAATATTCAGGATACCCGTGAAGTAAATTACGAGTAGATGAGAGGAAGAGCGCTGGTACGAGGGGAGGTGGGGCACGCCGCCGAGTGGAATAGCTACAGCGCCGAGTTTCCCTGCATTAGATAAATGCCAATTTCTCGGATTTAAACGCAAGCTGAGCTGTGGCGCAACGGGTCTCGGATTTTCCTATCTTTTTTAGATGGCCAGCGCAATAAATCGATTCAAGCAAAAGTATTGGCATCAAACAGGTGTTCTCTAAGGGGTTACAACATTGGATGTCTGATGGCGGAATACAAGCTAAGCTACGCATAAGGTCTACAACATGTGCAGTATGAAGAGCACTGGCTTTCATGTTAATACATCCTCGGAACTTTCAGCAGTCGGTGATCTTGCTTTGACAGTTTGGGCCTTTTCGAGCCCTAGGAGTGTTTGGGATTGTACCAGCGGGGGGATGAGTAGACCTTCTTACGACGGCGTCATCGCTACTAGGCTTGGGTTGCGACTTCTCCTACTGTTAATCGGTGACCGTGAATGTAGGGAAATCCGTCACTATCATAGCTCTGTGAGGAAACTCTAGGTTCCTGATGCACCGCATCTCAATTATTCGTGATGAGAAAATGATTTTCTTTCTTTCTCTTCTGACAGAATCTTTGATGAATTTCTTGAAACTGGAGCCTGGAACAGTGCTCAGTGTTGTCCTCAACATTTGAAAAATACTCTGTATGAATCTCTTAGGCTCTGTTTGGCGGGAACGGAACCGTTCAGGAACGGTCCATTTCAAAATGGTTGCAACAGGTGAAATGGAGCACTTCTGTTTCGAAACGGTTTCTCTTACCTTCAATTGAGAATTTTTTTTAACCCCTGGCAACACTCTATAGGGCAGAGTAATTTTGAATACCATACCCTAATAAATCTGCTTTTTTCTTTTTCTTGTAAACTAATGAAATAAATTCTATATTATGTGCAAATCTCTCAGTCTCCTGTACAAAAAAAACTATCTTATCTTAACATTCGTGAAAACTTCTCCCTTCTCTAAAGAGGTTTCAACTTATTCACAGATACCAAGATGGACGAGCATTCTCCTCAATACCAGTGTGTTACCACTTTCACCATACTTATCATAATTGTTTACTAATTTAAAATAGTAGTTCACCTTTGAATACACAAACCTTGAGCGATAAGACTCAATCAATACAGTTAGACTCGGATACTACTGCAAGTCAAAATACTGCATGTATACTACCAAGTGGGCATCAACCTGAGTGTTCTAACCACTCCTGCGAGATTGAAGGTAAGTTAAATATCACTATAGTTACTATGATAAGTTCTAACATTTTTTTCAGAAGATTTATCCGAAATTCGTGTTCTAGACCCCTGTGAAGTACCTTCCTCCTTTACGGGAAGCAAGCAGAAAACCCGCAAGCCTCGCCGGCGTCCAGTTGAATGGTCTCCTGAAATGACATCTGTGTTGTTGCGAGAACTAGTTCAAGCTATTAGGACTGGAAAACGATCTGATAATGGGCTAAAGATGGAAGTTTGGGATGAGATTGCTGAGACAGTTCTTCTGATTGCTGGACCTGGGGCTCCTGTAACAGGTGAGAGATGTCAAGGCAAATTGGAGACCTTGAAGAAAAAATGGAAGATGTGGACCAGGTTGAAAGATTTGAGTGGTTTTGGGGTTAATCTTAAGACTAGTGTGGTTACTGCACCAGATGAAGTATGGGAGGAAGAAATAAAAAAACAGCCTGGAATACGAGAGTTTCGTGACAAACCACTTGCAAATGCAATTGAGTTGGCGGAAATCATGGAGGGAGTTCAAGCAACAGGTGGTCATGCAATCTATCCTGGCCATACAAAATTACAACAAATCACGATTCCTTCGCCCCTTAGGTCAGATCTAGCAACTCAGGCTGAATCTCTAGAGCAGACCAGCCCCGATACAAGTCCTCATCAACATAAGCGGAGAAGGCTAGCACCACTGGGACATATTCGACAACCTCCAAGGAGTGTTTCTGAATGGCTGATCACTGCTGTTGAAGGGATGGCCACTACACCAATTACTATTGCAGCATCTCAATCAGTTGTTCAGCAAGCTGTATCAAAGCTTCAACAAAAGTATAAAGAAAGACCAGGGTGGTCAACACAAGATATTGTTACTGTATATGAGCTTTTTGAGAACCCAGTTAAGGCAGAAGTGTTTTTAGCATTAGAGGAAGATGAAGATCAGGAGCTTTGGTTAAGAGGTCAAATAGTACGTTACAAGGCCTAGGAATTCTACAGCAGTTAGTCTACTGTGACTGGTTTTGGTATTGTACATAATCAAGCCACATTTGTGTTGCACGTTTGTCTCGATCTTGTTTCATCTCTCCCATATCTTGTGCATCTCTAACATTTCCTTCATCCTCCTCCTCATAACTTGGATTTGATTCCTCAGAGTGATTGATGTTTTCCAAGGATGAATCAGCATCCTGGTAAAATTGATCCTCCTCTCCATTTGCCTGGTGTCGAATAAAGTTATGTAATGCACAAACTACCAATATAAGTTGAGCTTGTGTGGTAAGGTCAAACTCTGGAGCTGTATTGAGAATTTGAAACCTCTTCCGTAAAACTCCAAAGATACGTTCAATAACATTTCGTAACTGAGCATGATGTAGGTTGAAAAGCTCTTCCTTAGTTCGTGGACGTAAATGAGCTTGTGCTTGCTCCTGCAGATGATATCGTATGGTACGGTATGGTGTTAAAAACCCAGGACGAAGACCATATCCTGCATCTGCAAGATAAACTGTATTTTCATGTCTTGGAAATCCATGAATCACAGCATTTTCTAATACTCGAGCATCATTGGCTGAATCCTCCCAGCCAGAACATACATAGAAAAAGTACATATCCAAGCTGTATCCAGCAAGAACATTTTGCGAGAGGGTACCTTTCCGGTTACGATAGGGACCCTGCTGATTTCGTGGAACATGGGCCAAAATGTGTGTCCCATCGATTGCTCCACGAACATCCTTAAAATTGGACATCTTTCCCCAATTTTTCCATATTTTTGCAGGAATATTGTTTGGTGGAAGATGTACAAATGCTTCATACAGAGGCAGGAGAGCCTTTAGAACTTGATGAAAATAGCTGTAAAATAATTAGAATAATAAACATTTCATATATAAATATTATAGTGCAATTAATACTAACCGTGAAATTGTTTCTCCACTATGCTGAAAGTGTTCCTGAGCTTCCCTATTTGTAGCTCCATGTCCAATAATCTATAAAAACAATACAAGTTGTTCTTCCACAGCTACTTGACGTGTAGACACCAGTAATCCCCTCTCAATTACCCAGTCTCGAAGGTCTAACAATGTTGTAATTGGTATACAAATAACCTCTAGAGCACGACGAGGATGTGCTTGCAGGATTTCAGCAGTATAAATCATTCCAGTTCGAATAGATGTATGAACAGGTTCTTTAGAGAGGAATAGATGAGAATAGAGAGCAGAGGTAATTGCGATATGAATCCGTCTTTGAATTATGGCTGTATGAATTGTGCTCATATTGGGGTCAGATGCCATCTTGGAGGTGTATGAGTTGTTTTCGGAGGTGCCAGTGGAAAATATGATGTATAGGGAATAATCTGGTTATTATTTTTAATTAAGATGTCTTTATACATTACAAAATTTTTTTAATACAAAACTAGCCTAAGTGGGGGACCAGCTACTGTTGCAAACCTGGTTGCCAAGATCCACTTTGGAACGGAACGGTTCTTGTTTTTCTACATTACCAAACACTGGATTTACTCCAACCGTTTTGAAACGGAAGGAAACGGTCGTTTGTATGGGGGAACGGACCAGTTCCGTTCCCGCCAAACAGAGCCTAAGTACCTACTCCAGTGAAGACTACATTCTTGTTACCAACTCAGAGGAATAGTTGCAAGTAGGCCGGATGATTGAGCAGCTAACAGAAGCTTAATTGATTGAGGAAGGTTTGTCAAAAACAAGAAAACATTGAAGACCTTTAGCCTCCAATATTAAACATAGTAGGAAAACCACATAAATAAAACATCACTTTCCATGTTTTAAACCATAGATATATACTGTATATTATTATAGTAAATAAATTTATCACAAAATTACTTTATTTTTAAACTTTTTTATTACAGACTAGAAGTGATTTTACTATAGAGAAAAACAAAAATGAGTTTATCTCAAGATTAGTTTTCTCTGGTTGCCACCCTTCAACCCTGTTTTCCCAGCAACAATCAAAAAAGCCAATGTGTAGGTTCTAACAAAACTGCACTCAAATTACAATAATAGACATACATGGTACGCTTGTGTCTCCAAAAATCATCAGCCCCCGGTGATATCGAGTCTTGTCCCATCGCTTGCTTGGGATGCCTAGTTTTTCTTCTTCTTCTGACAACAGTTCTTAGAGGTGTTGACAAATATTTGAGTGTAGCATTTTTTTTTTCTTCACAGAAACAACAAGTAAGGCTCTGTTTGGCGGGAACGGAACTGGTCCGTTCTCCCATACAAACGACCGTTTCCTTCCGTTTCAAAACGGTTGGAGTAAATCCAGTGTTTGGTAATGTAGAAAAACAAGAACCGTTCCGTTCCAAAGTGGATCTTAGCAACCAGGTTTGCAACAGTAGCTGGTCCCCCACTTAGGCTAGTTTTGTATTAAAAAAATTTTGTAATGTATAAAGACATCTCAATTAAAAATAATAACCAG